AAGCTGAAGAGGTAACAGAGTTTAGTGAGCAGGAAGAGGCTGAGCAGAGAGCAGTTCAGAATCAGAGGCAGTAGCAGAGAGGGGTCAAGAGGCAGAATGGAGGCAGGCTGCTGCAGAGGTGTAGCGTTTGGGTGTCTGTGGCCCTGGGCACAATTTTGTGAGGGGGCACAAACAGGTGCCCCCACAGCAGGCTCCTTCTTCAGAGCCTGGCTGCAAGCGAGAAGGAGCTAAGCCTTGACTGGGCGTTTGTGCCTTGGCTGCAGCTCCACCCCTGGGTCAGGCCTGACCCAGGGGAGGAGAGCAGGACAATGGGTGGCAATGCTGCCACCCACCCAACTTGGCCGTGGCATGCCTTGCACCCAGCCGCAGCAGCTCCACCACCAGGGCAGGCCTGACCCGGTGGTGGAGAGCAGGAGGAGAGTGGACGGCAGCTTCCCTGCCCCTCTCCTCCCCTGGACTGTGGTGCCCAGAAAGGCGCCCCCGCCTCACCTGTGGGAGCCCTCCGCACACCTGCCCCAGGTAGTGTGGGCATATGCTCTGCCGCTGGGCTGCTGAAGAAGCCAAGGAATCTCCCCTCCCCCCGCTGCACTCAGCTCCCCTCCCCCCTGGTATCCCATAACACAGAGAGGAATGAAAAGGGCGGAGCAAAGAGAGAAGACAAAGGAGCAGTGGGAAGGCAGGGACCTTCGGTCCTCACAACTGGTTCATTGGGGCAAGACCTACCAGGAAGAGTTGCTGTGATCATTAGGCCTGCACTGTTTTGCTTTCTTTGAATAAAGAGTTAACTTCACTGACACCAGGTGTTTATTGCTGACTTGCACCAGCCTCCGGTTATAGCTCTAGGGAACTCAGCAGAACATCAGTCTTCAGCTATTTTATTTATTTATTTATCATAAGGATATTGGGCACTATTCTATAATGCATGCTTCTACAATTATATTGAGCGAACAACAGGGGAAACATGTGAGTCTAGTATGATGACGAGGCTGACAAAATTAATTACAGTCACACCACGGGTTGCAAACGTAATCCGTGCGGGAGGCACATTCGCAACCCGCAGCGTTTGCAACCCACAGCACCCCGTCTGCGCATGCGCGCAATGTGATTCGGCACTTTTGCGCATGACGTCATTTTGCGCTTCTACGCATGCACGAGCGCCGAAACCTGGAAGTAACCCGTTCCAGTACTTCTGGGTTTGGCGTAGTCCTCAACCCGAAAACTCGCAACCTGCAGCTTTCGTAACCCGAGGTATGATTGTAATTAATTAGTAGCCCACTCAACTGGCTTGTCCCAGCCACTCTGGGAAGCTTCCAACAAATATAAAACCACAGCAACACACCACACATTAAAATCTTTCCTATACAGGGAAGTGTTCACCTACTGGTAATGCACATTTTTCAAGCTTTCTGATGCGTGTAGATTCTGCTACTAGCAGTTGCCTAACTTAAGCCTCATCCCAGGCAGCACATGAGGAAAGGTAATAGCCCATCCCTGATGTGAGAGATCCAGTATGCCATTATAGTGCAGGGGTCACTCATGTGGTGCCCTCTGGGTGTTGCTGGACTTCTGCTCCCATCAACCCATTCAGCATAGCCATTGGTGAGGGATGATGGGAGTGGTGGCTCAACATCTGGAAAGCACTATGATGAATACTAGCAACAAGGTTGGCCTTTGGTCAGGGAGTTCCTAGTTCAAATCTCCCCAGCCACAAAATTTGCTGGCTGAACTTAGACCTGTCACTAACCCACCTCACAGCATTTCGATGAGGATTAATTGTGATTTATTCTCTTGCTTTTTGATCCTAGGATTTACAGCAGGCATAGGCAAACTCTGGCCTTCCAGATGTTTGGGACTACAATTCCCATCATCCCTGACCACTGGTCCTGTTAGCTAGGAATGGTGGGAATTGTAGTCCCAAACATCTGGAGGGCCGGAGTTTGCCTATGCCTGATTTACAGAGTGTTGTACAGATTAAAAACATAAATACCTTTAAACATTATCTTGCTCGCCACCCCAATCTCTGAGTGGTGTGAGATTCCATGGATATACAACCTGAACCTATGATGGAGGGGTTCGCAGCATTAACACCCTAAGAGGGTCTTCTTTCTTTCATAGCCACAACCTTGGATTCAAACAGAAACCAAACATTGTACTCTCTCTGCCTTTTCCATCCCACAACCAATTTTCCCCAAGGTCACATCACGACCAACTCTCAACTCCAAACTCAGGGTTTTGTCCTCTTTCTAGAAGCTCAAGGTGGGGTCCCACCCATTTGCCGTCTGGCATAGAACCCCTTCTCCTTAGCTTTCTTAATGGATGATCACATTTCCTTTGTTTCTTTAATGGCTCTTCACCCCATGTGATTACCTCATCAGGAAAGTATCCTGGCTTCTATTTTAACACTTCCTGAATGCAGGGGTTCAGTGTCTGTCACCAAGTTTAACACTCCAGGCCTTGAGTAAAATTCTAACACTTACTAGATGTAGTAATTATGGGTGCCTGGCAACCCCAAACTTATAGCAATAATGTAAGTAGGACATAAAACATAAAGATCTCCAACATAAGACAGAACCAGAAACAGTCAGTGAAAAGCTTGGGTGAATAGTGTGGTTGTTCTTTTTGCTCTTCTGAAAAATGGCTGAAAAGTCCCTTGGGGGGCAGGGGAGGATGCAACTTCTGTAGAAGTATGACAGGTATGTTTTAAATTGGAAACCTCTAGCCTGCCAGACATCATTGGGCCCCAATTCCCATGAACCCCAGCTAGTGTGACCAATGCTCAGGAATGATAGGAACTGCATCCATTGGGGCAAATGGGGCACTGTCCCACCATCTTCAGTCTGCTCTCAGCTAGCCTCCACTTGCCTGCATTCTCACAGCTGTCAACATCCTCTTCCTTAGTCTCTGTCGCCCTTGCAGAATTCAGGAGGGAGGAGGATGGGGACAGAACTAGAGTTTGGTGGCTCTGCCTGCCATTGGCTCTGGCTCCCCCTACTGTTGGCCTCCCAACCTTCTGTCCTACTAGTCTCAATGGACACCAGAACTACATGACCTGAAGAGCCGGATGATCCTCTGCACAGTGCACTGGAGAGAAGTATTTTCTGCCTACAGGCTGCAGTTTCCTCGTTCTAGGTTTCTGCATAAACACCCCATACCAGGCCTGTTGGCTGGGAAGTGCACAGGAAAGTCCTGTTCCCACCACCCTGCTAAATAAAATATGGTCCTGGTCAGCTTCTCCATTTCCTAATTTGAGCTTTTAGTGGCTATTTGCAAAATATGTCTATATCAAAAACCTTAACCGCGCTTCTCTCTCCCCGCCCCCCTGGATATATACTGTATGATTCTTGCTTTTAAAGAGTACCTTTTCAAAAACCAGAGTTATCTACTGCTCTTGTCCTGCCACTCATTCTTCCTCTATTCCCTCCTTTGGAAGTGCTGAGGTCTTTGCTGTGGTTTTGCCCTGAGATATTTAGCTCCCACCTCAGTTTATAAGTGAAAAGTGTCCTGTGTGATATTGTAATAGGTCAGGACATTCATTGGGGACTATGCCACAGCAAATCTGTTACATCTTTAATATTTCATGGGAGCCTTCTTTGTGTTTGCTGTGGCAGACTAATGTGGCAACGCATCTGGAACCATTCCAATGTTTAGCAGAAAGTAAGCTCAGACAAGTTATGCAGTGCCAGAAAGTTGTGCAAGGCATGGCAAAGAAGACACTTTATTTTTAATGAGTGGAAGTGTCGGGAAATAATATCTGTGTGTTTCACTGGGCTGGGACACTGAATGTCCCAGGAACCATTCAACAAGGGGAGCATCCCCTCATCTCACTCTCTCTGAATTCATCACTCTTAGTACTTAAACTTTGCACACATAAATTTTAAATGTAAATTTGTAATTTTATATGCAAATTTTAAGGTGAACTTAGCTATTTCACACTTTCTGAAACTACTGAAATTCACAATTTCTGAATTTTGCAATGTAGTTCTCCAGGCAAGGAATGTGTACAAAAATATCTATACTAGGATAAGGTGTGCATAGATTAGTGAAAATTACATGTAAAAATGCATTGTACAGTCAAACCTCGGGTTGCGAATGTGATCCGTGTGGGAGGCACGTTCGTAAGCTGCAGCATTCGCAGCCCACAGCACCGCTTCTGCGCATGTGCGTGACGCGATCCGGCGCTTCTACACATGCGCGTGACGTCATTTTGTGATTCTGCGCATGCGCGAGCACCAAAACCCGGAAGTAACCCATTCTGGTACTTCTGGGTTCAGCGCAGTCCACAACCTGGAAACGCGCAACCCGCAGCGTTTGTAACCCGAGGTATGACTGTATTGAGGAATGTTGCTTTGCAAAAATGCATACACTAGGGAAAATTGCATTGAAAACATGTATATTAGGTAGTTAATATTAGGCACCTCCTGGTAGGGCTGGGAATGTCCCCTTTATGAAAACCTGGAGAGATGCTGCCAGCCAGTGTCAACAAGACTGAGCTGGATGGTGCATTTTTGAAAAATGATGATTAAAGGTCCCTCTCTTTTTGCACCTGTATATTGAGGAGTGATTTCAATTCAGCCCTATGTGCAAAGTTCTGAATTTGTTTTCCTCACTCTCTCCTATGACAAAAGCAAACACTTGGTACATCTAGCATGTGACACCCAAAGCCACTTGGAGTGTTTCTGTCTCAAGAGAATGTGAAATGCCTGCCTGCCAAGGGCTCCGGATTGCTGCCAATCTGTTTAAGAATCAAATTAATAGATGCAGAACTGCCCTCTTTGTGATTGCATATTTAGGTTACTGGCTTAGCTGCACACACTCTTTCTCTGTACACCCCCCCACACACACAAAAAGAAAGAGAGAGAGATTTCAGAGAGGAAAATGATTCCCCAAATATAGAAATAAGGGTCAAATTCTTAACTCTTTTAAAGCAGACCTTTTTGGATAACAAGTTTACAGAACCTGATGGACACACAAACAATTATCAATCAATTATTTATTCAGTTGCTGAGAAACACAAGGAGATATGCACTGTAATTTGTTGAATGGTCTTTCTCTGCTGGAGATTTGTCTTCAGATTGTTCCCAGGAGTTTATTTTTAATGCTCTAATAATGCTGCTGCCCAACAGACGTTCCCAAAGGGAGGTGAATGGAGTTTGGTTCGGTTCGGCCAGTGTGGTGTAGTAGTTAAGAGGGGTAGACTCATAATCTGGTGAACCAGGTTCGCTTCCCCGCTCCTCCGCATGCAGCTGCTGGGTGACCTTGGCCTAGTCACACTTCTCTGAAGTCTCTCAGCCCCACTCACCTCACAGAGTGTTTGGTGTGAGGGAGGAAGGGAAAGGAGAATGTTAGCCGCTTTGCGACTCCTTTGGGTAGTGATAAAGCGGGATATCAAATCCAAACTCCTCCTCCTCCTCTTCTTTTGCTTTAAACCAAGAAGGCAAGCATTAATCCTTTGAAGTCCAGAAAACCAGAGTTCTATCATAATACATTAAAAATCACATAGCAGCCGTGGGGCTCCTGATTTTGATCAGGTTCACTGTGTGGGAAGAGGGGGGAGATTCCTCATGAAAATATAAGATGCCCATAAGAATTTTCCTTCCAGACCAAATAGCAGCTGAGGAAGACTGTTTTTCTATAAATAAAAAAAATGCTTATGGGTTAAAGGCCATCCACTGAGGTTTGGGTTTTATGACAAAAACTATATCAGTAAGCATATAAACTGTTTTCTTACAGTTTTCTTAATAAAACTCATATTACTATGCAACATTTATATTGCCTGGATTTCTTCTGTGGCCCTTTTTCTCTGGAACTGTCACTAATGTCTTGTGGAGAATAAATCTAATGGTGCTCTTCCATACTTTTAAATACTTGGCTTGTGGTGATTTTTTGTTTCTTGAAATGAAAGCTGCAGCCTCTATGATATGAGCAGAAAAAGTATTTTGGGACTCTGGTGATTTTAATAAAACTTTCTTGGTTTTTCAGTTTCTGTTAAAAGTGTTTTTTATCGCTTACTGTTGGCTTATTGGAGAATGGCCAGACTCTTAACTGCCCCCCTATCCATTGTCAGTTTCTGTTCCTCCAGATTATTGGCTGTAGTGAAAGCTTTAACAGCTTATTTCCTCATGTTTCCCCCCCCCATTTTTCTTTTAAAATGAAATAAAACTACTTCACTATAAAACTGCAAAGCAAAAACTGCAAAGAAACCAATAATTACAGTCTTACCCTCCACCTCCACCAATGGGAACAGAAACTGACCATGAAGTCATTTTACAGAGAAGGGGCGGAATTTAATGGTATTCACCAGTAATCTCCCAGCCATGATTCATAGGAAGTACTAGAATGTGCAGAATCCAGAAACAGGATTTTTTTAGGTAATATTGAAAAGGATCTTTGCTAAATGCAATATGCTTTATGAGTAAACATTATAGAAGGAAGCTGGCTGTAGGAAGGACTGAATAATATAGCTTGATATTAATGGTTTTTTGGGGGGTGGATCTACACACAAGAGAAAACCGCTATAAAATCATAAATTAAATTGTTTTAACAAAAGGGGGAAAAAACCCATGTAAGATCACATAGAAAAGTTTTCTGCTCTACAGCGCCATCTGGTGTGGCATGTTTATAAGACATTTAAAACTAATTTTTTGACTAATATAGCTGAGTCCTGGGACCATTGTTTTAATTCAGCTTCTAGCTACCGTAATTACAGAAAAGCAATGGCTCAGTAATGCGCATGGCTCTACTGGGGAAGCAACCTAGAAAGCTGGTATCTCTTCTTTATAGCCAGCCATAGCTCGTATATCATTTTAGTTGCTGCCACAAAAATCCAGATTCTTCTACACTGAACTGTAGGCAAAATGAACGAACTTGCTTGATGTTTCAAACTTTATCTTTTCATGTTAAATGTATGCTTGCACATTCGGGTACGGATGCATAGAGTGGCTCAAAATGAACCGCAAATACACACAAGAAAATAAATATATTCCTTCATGTGTTCCGAAAGCTATTGGGTGATTTCCCAAGTAGTTAATAATGACAAGTTAGCCCTTTTCTAATTATTTTGTCGGTTGCAGCTTTCACCATCCCAAAACATCTAGTGCGTCCAATAAAAAAACAACAGGCAAACTTGTTTCAACGTCCTAATTGAGTTGGAAAGGTAAGCTTGAGTTGCCCATGGATGAGTAGTAGCAGCTCATTGGAACTGATGGTTCGGAGTTCACTGAAAGGTGAGCAAGAGAGCTATGAACTGGTAACCTTAGGAGGGAGCAGCTGGCTAGTGCATCTGTGAGAATGAGGAGGAGGCCCCGACACAACAGGCCCACAAAATGTTGTCTGTTGCTGGCTCTGGTATTTCTAGGATCTGGAGCTGGTGCAGGAAGCAGGGCCGGATTGTATCCAGTTTGTCTTAAATGACTAGGCTGTAAGAGGGACCATGCGTTCATTATTTGCATAGTCTTAGGATGAGATGAGGATAGAGTGGTAGAAGCTCCTATTTTGGATTTAAATTGCCCATTTCTTGCTTGCATCAATGTGTACACACCATAACATCCAAGATCACAGTATCTTGAGGCAACATTTTAAAACACAATGCTATTGGTATTGTTGTTGGTACTGAACCAATTTGATTTTGTATACTATGCTACTTGGACTAGGATCCCCAAACTGGTTATTTTTTAAAAAGGCAAATGGATGGTTGGTTTATTTTTTATTTATCTTTGGGGGGGTTGAGGGAGTTGTCTTGTTTTATATGTTTTGGGGTGTGTAGGGTCTCCCTGGTTTTTGGGGTGGTGGGGGTCTGAGCAGTTTTTCCTCTGGAAAGTGGGTATGCTGTAGTGGCCACAACAGTATCTTAGATTTCTAAAAAAAATACCCACAAGCCTGAAAATGTTGGGGACCCCTGTTGTAACCTGTATTCATGAATGCATAAATTCTGGATGGTGTCAAAAACACTGGGTATCTCACCCTTGGCCAAAGCTGAAACAAAATAAGGATATGAGGGATGTTAGCTGCACCAAGTTATTAACTGTGTTGATTGATCATCTAAATCTACAAGTAAATGCAACAAAGGAATTGTAGATGGCGGTGATATAATTATGAACAGTACTTAGTGCTAGAAAGTATAATCTGGTTGAATTCTGCATTTCTGCTGTGTCCAAACCATAAAATGCAAGAAAATACTCTGTATATCTGAAATACTGCTGTATATTTCCCCCTTCCTTCCTAACCCATGAAAAAATGTAAATGTACAAGACATTCCTTTCTAGCACAAACTAATGGTACGTGAGTGGCGCTGTGGCCTAACCATCAAACCTCTTGGGCTTTCCGATTCTAAGTTTGGCAATTTGAATCCGTGTGATGGGGTGAGCTCCCGTTGCTTTGTCCCAGCTCCTGCCAACCTAGCAGTTCGAAAGCATACCAGCGCGAATAGATAAATAGGTATCACTGTGGCGGGAAGGTAAACGGCATTTCTGTGTGCTCTGGCACTTGTCACAGTGTTTCATGTGCCAGAAGCGGTTTAGTCATGCTGGCCACATGACCCAGAAAAGCTGTCTGGGGACAAATACCCCAGTTCTGCACCCCATAGTTGAATTTGACTGGACTTAATCGTCCAGGGGTCCTTTACCTTTTTTACCTTTTCTAATTAAAACACTGTCTAGACTGTCTAGCTCTACATTTGCCCTGTGTCTGCCTACTGTTTTAATTCAACACCCATAACAGTTATATGTACACACCCCTTGGCCCAAAGGGTAAAGTGTGTCCAGATGTTTGCTTTTATTATTATTTCCACATTTAAAAGGTCTAATGAAACAGTTATACAAAGCTATCTATTAACCTGTTCAGAGGTTATGATCCCTTAATACAAATTATTCTAAATTGTTGATTAAAAGGTTGGAACTAGTCCCTGGAACACTTTGTCTGAAGATGTGCAGCTTTCCTGAATGGGGTGGATAGCTGCAGTAAAAATGAGGATCTTACTGAAAACTGTAGTTGTGTTTTGGATTCTATTAATTTCTATCTTTCTATGACTTGACAATGTCAAAGCTGAACTAGATTCAATAGCATATTGAGGAATTGATTTGGAATACTGAAATTCCTGGGGTTAAAATTCTGTAGTGCAAGAAAATACTTTTGAAAAAAGAAGAAGAGATCCATACTTAATCAAATATTATCACAAGATTTAACTTCAGGATCGCAATGGATGGAACCTAGCATAGTTTTGCAGTATTCTGTGTATGAAATTTCAAGTCACCGCCCATGAAAAAATGTTGTTGTATATTTAAAGAAAATTCTGAGAAGTGGCCTTTTTAGGGTAACGGAGAGAAAAATCAAAGACAATTTATTATTAAAAATGTCTTCTGAGAAATTTCAGCTCTGCTCAGATATCAACAGCACACAATGCAGAACTAAAAATATTTTTCTGGGGAAAAGAAAACCTTCAAAAATATGGCCCAATTGTACACCCAGAGTTCCTTTTAAGACTTTTCTTTAAAAATCCCACAAAGATTCAGTTGCTGTCATTAATATCGGCTTTCAGCACATGCGACCTGCCATTCTTGGAATGGTGTTTAATCGCACAAGACAAGCAATTGAACATTCTAATCTTTGAGGGGTGGTCGTGTCTCTTTTAAAAAAGCGTCTGTGGCATGCAGCAAAGTTGTGGCCCTAATCTCCAATATTGCTAGAGACACATTTTCAGCATAGTACAAGTTTCAGATGCCATGAGGAATTCATACATCAAAAGGCAAGAGTCACTCAGCTAAATTTCCTGGCTAAATATGTACACCATGTAGCTACATGTGGTTGTGTTTTTTGGGGGAGTGGGCTTTCATGCCATTCTTCTTATGTCAGCAAATGGTATACAGCTGGGAATTTTCTGGGCCCCGTTTGGCTGGAAAGACCTGTGGCTTATTAATAATGAATTCTTTCCTGAGTTCTACTTAGTTTTTTGATTACAAGCCTGTGGTAATGCTTACAAAATATTTGCAGCTTGCAACCGGGCATCTTGAACTGTGGTGTGACTCTGTTTCTTCATGGCAGTTTGAATATTTTAGGACCTCATTTTGCAATATATTTCATCTGGCAACTGAGCAAGCCCCCCAAAGTGGAAATAGTGTAGGTGCACATATGCAATTTCCCATGTGACCCACTACAGAAAATTACAATATAAACATAATGAATCTTCCCATTTCTAGCTTCTGACAGTTAAGAAAAAGCGAGCCTCACTAATGATGGGTGCATCTTTCTACAACTGGTCTAGACGGATGACTCATGTGGTCCACCATCCTGGCTATTGTCTCATTTCTCCTTCACAGTATAATGGTATAGTTAGGTAATTTTACACTCTGGACTTAATAGCATTTTAGGTGATCCCCTCTTCAGATGATAATCTGCATTACTTTTCCTTTACATACTTTGAAATGTGGCAGACCAGCACTGCTATGCTTGAGGGCTGCTCTGTTCATTCTGCTGAGTGAGGCTCTGGACTTCTGCTCCAAAGCCCTGCCCTGATGACACCATTACCAGCAAAGCCTTTTAAAAAATAGTTTTAATAGTGAAAATGTGCCATTACATTCATGAACCACCAACTCCGCCTGCTACTTTGTTTTCGCAGAAATGAAAGCCAGCTGCTTCATGTTCTGAGGACTTGGCTGCAATACCTTCTCAGAGTTCCCTTTTATTCTACCATGCTGAAGCAAAACAATGGAGGTGTGCATAAATGCAAACGTATATTTGGATGTATGCTATCAAGCTCATTGTGCTTTTGTAGGAGGGAGGAACTCACCAACAGAGTGAGTGCTGACGGACAGGATCCTGCCATCAGGAGGAAAGGCAATTTTTGCCAATTCTTCCTGCCCCCTAAGTCCCTAGCCGCATTTGTCATGCTGATCCTCACAGTAATTCACAGCAGATTATCAGAGGGTAAAAGGGACTGAGTGGGGAATTCAGTGAAAGTTACCTCCCCTTTCTGCTGCCCTATAAGTGGAACTCAGTTCAGAGGATGCTCAGAAGCTTACTTGGATTCAAGCCTAATACAGACCTAATACCGAACTCAAACACGAAGAACAGATTCCATATTTTTGTCTTCTATGGATGGGAAGGCAATTTGATTCCATGGCAAAACCTCTCATGTTTTATTGGTTCCTCCTGTCATCTGAACAATTCTTCCTTGATCATTTTTCTTTGTTTTAAACAGATTCATCTAGAGAAAAATTTCTGTAAGCAATTATGTTTCATATTCTATATTTCATTTCATTATAACCTCTTTCCTTCCTTCTTTTCTTTTTTTGGCTTCTCATTATTGGGTCAGCTGTCTTGGATGCAAGAATAGGGTTTCAGTGGGGCTAAAGACTGGTTGGCTGGCAGCCAGATCATTATGAGGGAGAGACAGTGAGATGCGATTCCCCGGCCCATGAATGAATGGAATACTCATTACGGTTGGCAGCTCCGTGTGTCTGAAGTTTCTTTGGTCTGACCCAGGGGTGCTGGCACATGTTTTAATGAGCAATGTAGTTTCATCCAAAGTTTCTGAAAATGAGTGATTTCTGCTTAGAATAATAGCAGTCAAGGCAATTATCTTTAAATAAAGAGCATTGATGTTTCGGCAGCACCATTTTCCCCTTTTCAGACCAATCCAGTGGGGTTTTTCTTTATCCCAAGAGTCTTTTGAAGGTAGTGTGTATATATCAAACCTTTGGGCAAAATTGTCTCCAGGCAACAAGTCCCTTAAATAGGCCTGGTCTGCTCAGGCTGGGGAAAGTGCATGTTAGAAAATTGTCAGCCCAATCAGTTTGCTATACCGTCCCCTCTTTTAATTCAGCATATATGTTTTTAATTCCACCATTCCTCCAAGGAACTGAGGTAGAACACATGGTCTCCTTTCTTACTGCCCATTTCAATCTCATGTGATAAACTCCCTTTCTGATAAGACCACTGGGAGCATACTTTTTATCTCTACAATCCCTGAGGGAGCTACATGTCTCCCAGCCGCAACCTTGGCTTACATCATGATCATGATCATTTATTAGTTATATGCTGCCCATTTGACTGGGTTGCCCCAGCCACCATGGACCTGATTAGATTATTGGGCTTACATGCTCCCTCTTCTCCTCCCAGCCCCTTCAGATGGAACAATCCTTCTCATTTTAAAGCCAATCGTAATTTGCTCTTTCATCTGAACCAACAAACAATGTTTAGCACTAAAAACCAGGATAAAAAACTAGGGGAAGTGTGGTTTGCTTCAAAAGGGTACAGTAAGGAAGCAGTGCAATACTATACGCAAGGGCTTATTTGGAAGGAAGGGTGGGATATAAATTTAATAAATAAAATAAATAAGGGTAAGAGGGAAGGAAGTTTCCAAGCCTGGTGGTCTAGCCTTATATCTATATCAACTCTGGGTGAACTGGCTGCATTGAGTGTATTGAACTACTTGCAACTGATGGCACTGAATAATGGAACTGAGATGCTTTGATTGTGGAAGAGAGATCACTCAACAGTGGGCTGAATAGTATATAGTTTGATTACACTGCTTAGTAAATGTCACACTTGCTTCATGTCATTTCTGACACCTGTTATCTAATCCTCTTATCTAATTCTTGCTGACTCTAATACGGCTGAATTTGAGCCAACCCTGCATTTCTCTGGCACTGGGTTATTCTGTGCAAAAGTTTCTTTGTGTGCACGAAAACAAAAATAAACATAGGGCGAACAATAAAATGTGTGTGTGCATGTGGCATATTGAGGAGAATTACACACAAATTTATTTTATCAGGTATGGTTGTCCAAAAATTAGCTTAAGAAAAATGCCCTGAATTAATGTTTGGCTAATGCTTGTAATGTGAAATCTTTATATTTCAATGGAAAGGTTTTGAACATATTGCACTTTCCCAAGTAAAGCTATATTCCTAAACATGCTGACGTTAATGTAATTTCCACTTAAATCAATTGGACCGAACAACGTATGAATGGCCCTCTTGGATGAGACTAAAGGCATCCCTGCCCCTATAACTAAATACCTATAAGAAGCTCACTTAGCCCCCTTTAAAGCTCCCATTTGAGTGCTTCACAATCCCTTTTTGTTTTTACCACCCTGAATAGACAGAGTGAGCAACCTGGCCTTCCTGTTGCTCACTCCTAAGTGAATAAGTTACAAAGCACCAATCCCAGTATACATCTTTGGAAGACCCCATTTTTTACATTCTTCTGTGATCAGATCAGACCATATACCCGCAAGCAGTTTTTCTCCCTGTAAGTAAAAAATATTCCTTCTCTGATATGCTCAAATGATCTTTCCCCCATGCAACAGAATGTTTGCAAGGGTTAAATAAATCACCTGGGACAAGAAGAAAGTAGATCTTTAGCTTTTAACTAAACATAATGTCTTCTACAGAAAGTGGATACTTGCATTTTTCCTGCGATTGCACCGTAAAAGGTAAGGAAAAGCCCTTAACTTTTTTTCTTGCTCTCCCTCTGCTTACAAGCACAATACTGCGCGGAGGAATTTATAATTAGAAGCATGACTCATAATAGCCAGAAACTGCAGTGATGTCTTCAGAGGAAATGACATTTCCATACCCTTCAGAGGTAGTTTCAATCTGCATTTCATGCCAATCTTCTGACATACTCGTTTTCTTTTTTATCCATCAGGAGCACAGATCTAATGTTAAGACATGGCCATTAGCGAATCCAGAGGAGGAAACAGGGCATACTTGGGTGCAAACATTTGGATCCCAGAAAATAAGAAAGTAACAGCTTCCACATTCTCACTTACTTTCAGCAAGAGATAAAGTTCACCTACTGTAAGAGAGAGAATGATGTGACGTTCCTTCAAGCTGTGGAACAAATCCATATAATGCTCCTGGCACAGCACCACTCTGCTTAATCTGTAGATGAATGCGAGAAAGCCAAACCCTCTGAAGAGTTACTCACAGAGAAAGATTTGAAGGAAGCTGAAGAAGGAGCGACAAGGGGAAACCACAGCACGATTTTGGGTCGAAAGGCTTAAGAAATTAGTGAAATGTTCCACATGATCAGTCAGAGCTCTCTTTTTTTTGAGATGGGAGACTGATGTACAGTCACAGAAGGAAAAAAGGAAACAGCTGCATCTATGTCTGCTTTGTATTCCTAGTGGGAAGATATCATGGCCACAGAAAGCATGAAGAACAGTGACAGCCTCAGGTAAATAACTAATGTAAAACTTCCCGATAAAAGTAGACTTGTGAGCATTATCGGATCTTCCTCCTTGTTTTCCATAGGAAGAAAATGGGGCAGATGTGAACACACACACACACACACAGGATTGGTTTGCATGTAACGTCAAACTATGGTTTGGTACCATGGAGACAAACCCTGGGCCTATGCTTCTGCACTGGCACTTTCCCCTTTTATCCCTCTTCCCAACCTTTTGCACTTTGCATAGTTAGTTACTTCCTTGTTTGTGAGAAATTACAATTTCCCATTAACTCAAAACACCAAACTATGGTTTTGCACTTGCCCTGCAACCCAGGACTGTAAACCAGGGCAAATCCGTGGTTTGGGAGTATATGTGAGTGAGTAAATGTATGCACCCTCTGCTCTCAAGGTACAGCTGCAATATGAGTAGGGCTGGGCAATATCTGATTTTCAACATTGTGATATATCATCACCTAAACATTGCAATATACTGATATATCACGATGTCTGAAATAAGGAATTGAGCTATGTAGAGGCATTGGCTGGTATCACGGCTTTTCCTGCTCCGTGATTTCTGCTGGTGCCTGCTCTTGTGATTCGCTGCCCGCTGCATGAGGCAGGGAAGAGATGAGCCAGCAGAGATAACAGGGGCTGCAGGAATCGAGAGAAGCATTGGCTGGCTTCACGGTTTTTCGCACGTTGTGATTTTTGCATAGCACACGCACACACATCATGGTTCACGGTATATTGCCAGGTCAAAAATTATGAACCAAGATCATGATATGGACTTCAAACTGGTTTCAGACAATATATTGATATATTGTGGAGCCCTAAATAAGTGCTTCCAAACAGGCTGCTTCTTGGCTATTTGATTGCTATCCCACACTTTCCAGTGTGATTATACTATCACTTTTCTAGCTGCAAAAATTGCAATAAGAAAAGTGACAAAAATGGCAATGGAAAGTGTACCATTAGCTGTCAATTTCATCCAACCTCTGTGTTGACATATCAGGATGAATGCTCAGTAAACAACAGGTCTGGAAGCTCCCCTAGATTGGGTTAAGAGAAAAAGGAACATAGGAAGCTACCTGAGTCAGGTTTTAGTGGCTCCTCTGGGTTTTAGACAGGAGATACTTCAAGCCCTACTTGGAGACACCTGGGACAGAATCTGGGCCTTCTGTATGCAAAGCAGATGCTCTACCACTGGGCTATGGCCCTTCCTGGTCATCTCCCTGCCCCCCTCCCCAAATCCTAGGAACTGTAGTTTTTTGAGAACTTATAAGCTTCAACAGCACCTTCTCCAGACGACATTTCCCACAATTCTTTAAGGTTCTTGTGTAGCTTGCAAGTAATAAATCCTCAGTGAAATCATAGAATCATAGAACTGTAGTGTTGGAAGGGACACTGAGGATCATCTAGTCCAACCCCCTGCAATGCAGGAATATGCAGCTGTCCCATACGGGGATTGAACCTGCAACCTTGGTGTTATCAGCACCATGCTCAAGCCAACTGAGCTATCCAGTGGGTTTTAGCTTCCATATCTTGCTTGAGTATTGATCAGAATGTATGCCTCCCTAAAAAGACAATGAATCTACATCACGATCCTAAACATTGCACGTTAGCCTAAAAAACTAGGGTAAATGTCGCATTTTTGACATATTGATGCATAGTTGGTATAACTGTTCTAAGCACTCACAGCTGGGCTATTAGTTCTAAGCATGCAGGGTTGAATCCATTAATAATTTCTCATTGGTTTCAACAGGTCTAATAATGAGTCAGTTCTAATCTTACTCTCTTGACAGTAAATTGTTTAAACAGGTTTTAATATGGTATTTTTATATTTATATAACCTGCTCTGGGACTATTATTATTATTATTATTATTATTATTATATCCTGCCCAAAGGATATGCCAAAGAAGCCCAAGGTGACAAACACACAAGTGATAAAGCAATTAAAGCATCTAAAAACTGTTGCAATACAGATGCAGGCTGGGATAGATCTCAGTGATGAAGGGCAGGTAAGAAATCAAGTGATTGTTGGTATGGAGTCTGCAGAACTACAGGCAACTCAGCCTCCCAGGGTTTCCTAGTTGGCCCCCACAGGGTTGTTTCGAAAGTTTGTGTAATCTGGGATACCAACTCTTCACAAAAGGGGTGCTTCCTTGTCAAATGTTTTCAAGTCAAATGGCCATTTTGGAAGAACTGCTTCGATTTCTACAAGATTCATTTCAGTCCCAATTGTGGTGCTCAAATTAGGCCCTGCCTACTTGTTGCAGCAAAAAGGGACGCGGGTGGCACTGTGGGTTAAACCACAGAGCCTAGGACTTGCCGATCAGAAGGTTGGTGGTTCGAATCCCCACGACGGGGTGAGCTCCCGTTGCTCGGTCCCTGCTCCTGCCAACCTAGCAGTTCGAAAGCACCTCAAAGTGCAAGTAGATAAATAGGTACTGCTCCGGCGGGAAGGTAAACGGCATTTCTGTGTGCTGCTCTGGTTCGCCAGAAGCGGCTTAGTCATGCTGGCCACATGACCCGGAAGCTGTACGCCGGCTCCCTCGGCCAGTAAAGCGAGATGAGCGCCGCAACCCCAGAGTTGGTCACGACTGGACCTAATGGTCAGGGGTCCCTTTACCTTTTTACTTGTTGCAGCCTGACAAACAGAGATGGCCTTCCTTGACTTCACTCTAGGGTTGTGCTATTATTTCTCCCAATGCTTATTACGTTTACACCAGCATTGCTGGCGTAGTGTGCGCACTGCTCCTTGACCAGTGTTGCTGCACAGCATTTTTTTTAACTTAATCAAAAAGGCCCGTGTGCTGCCTGTGCAAATATTTCAACTTGAGGTTGGCTATCAGAAAGAGGGCAGTAAAAGAACCTGCAAACATTTCCAGGCAACCACTTCTGTGATGACATTAATCCAATTTAAAACACCATTGATTTCAAGCCCCTATCTCTAGTCTGTTTTGCTGTGATTGGCCCAATTCTACTGCACAACCCACCCACCCCCGCCACTGCCAGCAAGGATTTAATTGCCTTCCCCAAGAGCTTAATACATTATAAATATCCCCCCCGATTCAGGGTCTTTAAGGATTCTCAAATTTGAGGGGACAGCTGAATGTTAATCCATGGTTTCTGTTTCACTCCAAATATTCAATTGTTTTCATACCACTGATGGGATGACACATTTCGTTTTCACATAACGTGCATCAGAAATGACATCATTCCTGCTGCTGTTATTTTTGCATCATAAATAGCTCCATCCCTTTCACATTGCTGATCGCAGTAAACTCCCCCCCTGAATTTAATGCATGTAACGAAAATGGATAAATCAATATGTGGGTGGGGGGCAGTGGGGGGAAATAGCTGACCTTGGGTGAGCACAACCTTTGGAAAGCATTAGCTAGCTCCTTAGTTTTATAAAAGATTGATATAACATTAAAGTGCTTGTTTTATCTTATTTAAATATTTAGTGGGGGACTACTTAACTAGTTTTATGGTTTTATTTGGAAGGCTTTCAATGATAAAAGCTTTAGATCCATGTGCTGCTCACCCACCTTCTAAACTGACAACCAGAAAACAGGGTATACAGTGGTACCTTGTGTTAAGTACTTAATTTGTTCCAGAGGTCCCTTCTTAACCTCAAACTGTTCTTAACCTGAAGCACCACTTTAGCTAATGGGGCCCCCTGCTGTCACCGCGCAGCCGGAGCATGATTTCTGTTCTCATCCTGAAGCAAAGTTCTTAACCCAAGGTAATATTTCTGGGTTAGCGGAGTCTGTAACCTGAAGCGTATGTAACCTGAAGTGTATGTAACCCGAGGTACCACTGTATCTGGAATTCAGAATGAATAGTAGAAATTGCAATACATAAAACAATGTGAATGTTTTGTTACTGTCACAAGGTCAGAGAAAGGATATGTTTACCTTGGATGTTTTGTTCTTCTTGGGACCAAACTGCATATTGCACCGGACTTCTGTGGGCATATCTCCCAGCATTTTCTTTGTTACTAAAACAGAGGTGTAGTAGTCTGCCACTTTGAAAAGAATTGTTGTGCTTAACCTACTTGTCTCCTCCTGGAGCAAAGAGTAGCAGGCACGAGGGGGTGTTCATTCAGAAAATATGGCCTGGGGAAAAGGGTCAAAAATCTCCCCCAGCACAGCTTCTCTGATCAAACTGACATGGTTGCCTGTCATTTAAAAACAACAACAAATAGTCTAATTGAGGATCTCCCCCATAGCATGGTTTAGTCCTTGGTCACAGACTGAAATAGAAGCTGGCCACAGAGGTTGGAATTCATGGGACACAGATGTTGGAGCAAGGGGGAGGAATTGGGATCTGTGGAAAGATCTTTTCTCCCAGCCAATGGAAGGCCTTCCTCCTGCTTCAGGCCCACATGCTGTTTTCTAAATCTTCAGAGGCTCAGTCCTGGAATTGATGCATTGCATTTTTGTGATTCAACAGATCTATTGATAGTTCTATTAGATCACAGGCATGTCCATGACACCCGTCCGTGAAGAATCTGCACAGGGGTAGTAAGTTTTGGCAGCTGCGAAAATGCTAGCTGCAATAATAAATTAATAGCTGCTGTGAGATATTAAACCAGATATTGGCTCAAGCCCCAAGATAACATTTTTTTTAAAAAAACACACGAATGAATACCTGACTAGGGAAACCATGAATTCTTATACTAATCCCACGTCAAACATGTAAAAGCGTTTCAGTTCTGAATGAGACTTCAGCTGTCATTTCTGCACTCGGGTTTGATTTCAGTGTCAATTTATTTATATATCACATTTTCCACAAATACATCTGTGCTAAAAGCAGTTCACATTAAAAAAAATAAATAGTCTGGTACAGTATAAGAATGCAATGTAATAAAAAGTATACTATCACTGTAACATCACAACAAAAGAATGATCAACAATTAAGAGTTTATTAACATACATCAAATTTTAAGTAAGCATAAAGTCAAATAAAAATATCCAGTGGCTTCACATACAAGAGTAGCCCCAAAGCTGATGACATTGGCTCTTTCAAAAAAGCTGATTTCAAAAGCTGTTGGAAGACCCCCAAACTGTAGGTACTGTAGCTCAGTGGTAGAGCACATATACAGTATTGCATGCAGGCAGTTTCAAAGTTCAATGCCCGGGCAGCACCTCCAGTTAAATGACTTAGCAGGTAATGAGAGAAACCTGTGTCTGAGAGCCTGGAGAGTTGTTGCCAGTCAGAGCAGCTTAGGTGGATAACCTCCTATGCAAAGGAAAAGTCTTCTATTAATACTTCACATTCGGAAGACCTTCATGCCACTTGATCTCAGAGACAGAACAATGGGGGTGTTTTATAAATTAAGCATTCTAATGTAAGCTGTTGTTGAGATATATTATATTTACCCAGAACAAAATGCAAGCCAATCTGTTAACCTCTAAAATTGTTTTGGGAGGTAGTGCAGTAGTTGTTTTGATGTTTTTCATAATTTTGTTTGTATTCTAGTAGCTCGTTGCTGTGTGTGCTTAAGTGTAGGCTATTTTCTGCAACTTGACATTTTATTGTGGTATGACAATTGCTTTGTAAGAGTTACACTGGTAAACAAGCTTCAACTACAAGTCTAAATAAATAAATAAATAAATAAATAAATAAATAAATTTATAGTGTCCTGTGAATGTACTAGAAATGAAGGGCACCAGATTTCTTCTGCCTTCCCTGGAATCTAGGGCAGAGATGAGGAACCTGTGGTCCTCTCTGTATGTTATTGGACTCCAAATGCTGTCAGCCCCAGCCAGCATGGCCAATGGTCAGCAATGATGAGAGTGTAGTCTGACATATATACACTCATACCTCTGGTTGCGAATGTGATCTGTGCGGGAGGCACGTTCGCAACCTGCAGCGTTCACGGCCTGAAGTGCTGCATCTGCGCACGCGCGTGACGCAATTCGGCGCTTCTGCGCATGACATCATTTTGCGCTTCTGCGCATGCGTGAGTGCCAAAACCCGGAAGTAACCCGTTCTGGTACCTTCTGGGTTCGGCGTGGTCCGCAACCCGAAAACGCGCAACCTACAGCGTTCGAAACCCGAGGTGTGACTCTAATGCTTTAGCTGGGATTCCTGTATTGCAGGGGGTTGGACTAGATGACCCTTGGGATCCTTTCCAACTCTACAATTCTATGATTCTATGATCTGGAGGCCAAAGGGTCTCCATGAATCTCCCCCCCCCGCCGGATTTCTGATCCAAATTGTGGATAACCAAATCCTGTCTTCTCCAGGGCAATTCTATTTTTCAAACAATGTTCTGAGGAGTAGAAGTTTATATTGCTGTTTTATTGTTGATGATGAATGTGCATGCTGACCTACATATGCCGGGTAGGGTTGACATGCTATGTGAGTTAAGCATGCATCTAGGGACTGCCAAGATTGCTTGCATTGACAGCAAATGTTCTGAGTGATTATTTATTTAAAGTATTTTTATCATGCTCTTCAGCTGAAAAGGCTCCCAGAGTGGCTTACATGAGGTCAATAAGAAATACAGCAGCCCCACAAACAAGATATACAGTGGTACCTCGGGTTACATACGCTTCAGGTTACAGACTGTGCTAACCCAGAAATAGTACCTTGGGTTAAGAACTTTGCTTCAGGATGAGAACAGAACTCGTGTTCCAGCGGCGCGGCGGCAGCAGGAGGCCCCATTAGCTAAAGTGGTGCTTCAGGTTAAGAACAGTTTCAGGTTAAGAACGGACCTCCGGAATGAATTAAGTACTTAACCGGAGGTACCACTGTATAGGCAAGAGCATGGGAAGGCTAGAAACTGCCTTACACTGTGTTAAACCACTGGCTCACGCAGCTCAGTACTGTCTCCACTGGCTTCCAGTAGCTTTCCAGAGTTTGAATTTGGGGCTTTGAGCATGCCAGGCAGATGCTCTCTACTGAGCTATGGTCCTTCCCCTCTCCTGCTACCAATGGCTATTGGCATTTGGTGCCTCTGAATCTAGAGGATGCATGTAGCCACTTCTATCACATATTGACCAAACTGTAGGTACTTTGTGATTCAAATAGTAACTTAAATCATCATGAAAGTCTTCTGCTGCTATGAGTATGAAATTTAAAAATAGTGGCATTAAAAGCCATTAGAGAACTAGGTTTGGATATAAATGACTGAAATGTATGCACTGTTTATTGTAGTACAAAAAAGTTCCATAATAGCAGGACATTGTTTCACATCTAAATGTGGTTGCTGAGTCATTGGCATTTTCCTGCCAGCACTGCAGAAGCAGCTGCAGTTGTAGGTCTCTTACTGCAGTAGATGTTTCGTTGCATTAGTAACCCCCAATTTATTTCCTAATGCTCACATTTATTCAGCCCCCGGATCTTTCCAATATGCTTATTTGCAGACATGTCCAGTAATACTTAAGATACAGTTGCAGATTATTGCAGTACATGGTTGATCTAAATAAGTACAAAACCCCCTAGTCATTAAGAATTTGGTAACGCCAACAAAAGGTCATTGGGCTCTTGGTTTTATGATAAAGCCCACAAAATTGCAGAGGACTCCACTCCCACAGTTCTGGGTCGTGATTCAAGCTAGTGATTCAAGATGTTTAATTTCCACAACAGTGGCCAGCACACTTTAAGTCTTAAAGGAGCAGGTCATGAAATGAATATCTATAAATGAGGGTACCTTTGCATTTGAAATAGTTATTGGGAGGGGTGGGAGAATTCTTTCATCCATCCCTGTTGCATTTATGTATATTACTTCAGCCCTGGGTATGTGTACTTCTTGTACTTGGCATTTTCTCAACAGCAAGAACACACATACTTTGTTTCATATTCTGTTCTTTATAAACTCTTCTAAGTACTCCAAAATGTCTGAATACAAGCAATAATTCCTATGATAGGCTATCAAGTATCTTACTTTTGAACGAAAATATTGATCTGTTTACAAATTTTCCGAATTGCTGAGACTTTAAATAGTTGCCAGCAAGAGGGATCTATGGCTGGCTCTTCTGGACCTACTCTGTTAACACTGCAAAATAATGCAACAGGGAGAAAAATCTTTGTATCCACCACTTGAAGGGCATGTGTGGTACTCCTGCATTGTGTAAAGAAAATCTGAGCTGTCAGCTCTAAAATCTGCCAGATAGGGAGGCGGGAACAGAAGCCCCCATCAGTTCAAGTACTCCCTTTCCCCCACCTATCCTCTCAATTCCATCTCAACCTTATTAGAGCTAATAGGTGAGAGGAGAAAGGGGAATTCACAAGACACTGTGCACATGATTCCTCCTTTAATCAAGGACTTTGCACAGAAAATCATGGCATTCTTAGTATGGCACAGGAAATCAGTGGGTGTGCTAAGAAAAGAACCCGTGGTTACTTACTCATTTTCCTCTGATTGGGTAGGTTGGTAGTTGGAGAGATTTGCTGTTCTTTGCTGAACACGGATCCAAGTGTGGAATGCTGTCCATTACAAACATGATACTAAACATATACAATGCAGTGTAGAGGTGATTGATCTATTCAGCAGTTTGTTTTATTTTTGTAACCCATTTTTTATTAATTTGCATCTTTAAACTGTTTAACATTGTTGCATTGAGTTATCTTTGTTTACATTAGAGCATATGACATGCAACAATTGCATAAAACAAAAACCAAAAAGCACTTGGAAAAACGTTTCTGAATATTTTAACAAAGTTGTGGCAGTTGTGTTGAAGTGTACACAGGTGGTAAGCACTTTGCACGTGTCCTGTTGACATGACTGCCGATTCATGGCTCCTTTTGAACCCAGAAGAGAGGAGAACGGAAGCGGAATGATGGTTGCCGCCTGTATACCAAAAATATTACAATTTTTACAGATATTATGTATAGTAAGGTGTATTGCTTAGGTGACCATAAGTAAAAGGTATTTTGGATAAGGTTTCCTTAAGTTGTGGGGGAGTATGGAAGAATGTTACTTTTGATTTTTGAAAAGTTACCTTAAGTCCAGAGACATTAGAAAGGGTCTCCAATTCTATACTCAATAACCTTTCAGCATTAACTGGGTCTGATGTGCATAAAACAGTATCATCAGTATAGTATCCCAGAATGTATTTCCTTGCATTGTATTCAGCAGTTTTCTTAGTCCATTTTACACCCTTATAAAGACTGCCTATTAATTGATCTGACTGATAACCACTTTATAAAGCTTTCTATAAAGCATGAGCTTTACAACTGCTTTTATTCAAGACAACACTCAGATGCTTGGTCACTTGTGTTCATGTTAAATCCCATGGCAATTCATATGAATTAGTTTCTTTGTTCCATTCAGTGACTTGGACAAATTCCAGCTCAGGAAATCACATTCTACTTACTTTAATTCCCTTGGGGTTTCACTTAGATTTTAAAAAAATAGGCTTAAACTATTATTTGTGAGAAGGTAAAAACATCCACAACTTGTTTTTAATATTACAATCTATTTTTGGGGTGGGGAAGATTGGCCATTGAAATTACTCTTTCTTAGGTCAAAAAGGGAATGTTAGTAAAAAAAAGTATTTTTAAGTTTGCAAACATAGAAATGATGTATCAGTATTTCAAATTTTAAATGTCTTTTTGAAAGACCTAATTGTATTTTCAAAATAAGATCCTGTATTTTGGATTAAGAATGCCTAACATTTTTCAAAAGCAAGATTGAAAAGATTATGTATTTCTTTTGCAGTTATATGAATGGAATAAAATTGTGTATGCCTGCTCAGAAAGAGTGGTTTTAAGTATGGAGTCAAGTGGTGGGAATTAATTAATGTGATGTGAACTTTAGCATGATATGCTGCAGTCAAGGTCCTGACCAAGGATGTGATTTTTGAAGAGAGTGAAAATTAATGTACTGTACGTACCATTTGCTCCAGTAAGGATCAGTGCCCCTACCCTTTGACATGTTTTTAGTTTCAAAAGTGGTATTGACAGTTCATAATTCATGATAATGTGTTTCTATATGGGGATATATGCACGAGTGCAAAAAAACATATTAAAGTTAACTTAAAATGGCTCATAAAGTATGTACAAAGATATTGCTGCCCTTTGTCTGAATTGTTTCAGAATTGTGCTCTTTCTAGGGCAGCACTTGCCAAGGATGCAGGTTGATACTGGGGCTTACTCAAGAACATAGGAAACTGCCTTTGAGCCCTCATACCGAGTCAAAAGACTGGGCCATCTAGCTTAGTATTGTCCACACTGACAGGCAGCACCTCTCCAGGATTTAAGACTATCCCAGCCCTATTTGGAGATGGCCAGGATTGAACCTGGGCTCTTCTGCACTCAAACAGATGCTCTGCCCCTCAGTTATGGCCCTTTCTCATATTTACTTCTGAGTAAACGTGCTCAAGGTTTTGAAACTTGCACACTACTCCCACCACCAAATTATATCTGCAAAGATGTCTAGATACTGAACTGAAAAAAGAAATACTGTCCTTTTGTCAGTGGTAGTCCTGGGTAGAGTTGCTAGCAGGGCAATTTCCATGTACACCCTCATGAAAAGAAGGCTTTTTAAAAATGTTCCTGCTGCAATTAAGGAGCTCCCTGTGGTGACAGGAGCATTTGTCAGAGCAGAGGCGGAAGCCACTTTCTGAGAAGAAAGTGGGGTGCCTGCAGTAAGGAGGGTTCTGGAAGGGTAAAGCATCACCTTTGCATCCAGGTCTCTGGCTCAACCCTCGCTTGGCATCTCCCTAGTGGGGTTGAGAGAGACCCCCTGCCTCAAAACGCTGGAGTGCTACTGCCAGCCAGGATGGGCAACACGGGGCTACACGGACCAAAGGCCTGTGCTCTGTATGCGGCAGCCCCCTACGTTCCTACCAGCGTCTGCGCGCGCATTTCCCGCCTTTGTTCAGGGGGGACGAGGGCGTGGGTCCTCTGCGCACGCCGCGCCGCAGGGCGAGCGCTTCGTGAGGAGGTTTCTCGCCACGATTACTATTGTTTTTAGTGAAGCGTCTGCGGCTCAGTCTGCAGGGACGGGGCTCTCGCTCTCATCCTGCGTTTGCCGGCCCTCCCCGCCCCTTCCTTCCACGCCGGCTTGCCCCTCGACCCTCCTCGGCGGCGGCAGCACCCGCCAGCTTTTCCCTCCTCCCTTCCTTCGTCCCTCCCCTGCGGCGGAGAGTAGCCTCGCGCCTCCCTCCGCCGACGGTTGCTGCCCGTCCTCCTCAGGGCAAGTCCCCACCCCTTCCCCATGTGCGGAACCGGCGTCGCCAGGAGGAGGAGGAGGCGGGCTGAGACAGAGAGGCCTGGCAGGCGTCGCGGCTAACGGTCTTTTTCTAATCTGGCGGGCGCGAGCGGCGCCGCTTCGAGCTGCCTGTCACGGACGGAGCGGGCCTGGCTGGCGCGGAGGAGGAGGCGGCCGGGCGGCGGGGCATGTGAGTGAGGCCGGGCGGCGCGCGGGCTGTGCGCCTCGGGGCGAGGGAGGAAGGGGTGGGTCGGGGGTCGGCTGGCTCCTCTCTGCCCCCTCGAGGCGCTCCCTGACCCTCTTTTTGCTCAGGATGGAGTGGGACCTAGGATTGTTCTACACGTGTCGTGCTAGGGGGGCGGAAAGCACACACCACACACACGGGTCCCGCGTGGTGCCTTGCAGTCTTGCAGCTTGGTTGTGTCGTGAGCTTTCACGGGCCGCAGACGCGATGGATAGTGAATGTCGATCGTGTGCCTGCCTGCCTCCCTTTCTGCCTTGTTTATCCCGTGCAGAGGTGTGAGCATCCACACACACCTTACAATCCTCACTTTCCATGTCTGCTTCGTGCAGCTGACGTTATTGGCAGTGGACCAAGAATGCTTCTGCTGCTATAAGTGTGTCAAACTTCTAGCTTGACACAGGACTTGCTGAGTATCCCATTCTTGGTTGGGCAGCAGGACAGGGTGCTGAGCATAAGGGGCATCACAGGGCATCACAACTATAAGGTAGTGAATACAGTGGTACCTCGGGTTAAGTACTTAATTCGTTCCAGAGGTCCGTTCTTAACCTGAAACTGTTCTTAACCTGAAGCACCACTTTAGCTAATGGGGCCTTCTGCTGCCGCTGCGCTGCCGGAGCACGATTTCTGTGCGTATCCTGAAGCAAAGTTCTTAACCCGAGATACTATTTCTGGGTTAGCAGAGTCTGTAACCTGAAGCGTCTGTAACCTGAAGCAGATGTAACCCAAGGTACCACTGTAGAGCACAACGGAAGCTGAGAAGTAGGGTGGTGTCAAATTTTGGCCTCGCACAGGGCACTGCTGAAATTTAAAAGACCAGATTTTGCCCATGGTGTATTATGGTAGTGTAAGGGCCAGTTAAAGTAATTCTTAAGAAGGAAACTTAAAGAAGACAGTTATCATAATGATATAGGTTTTCATCAACTGACTTTTACTTAGAGTAGTCCCATTGAAATTAATATAGCTAAATTAATCATGGCTATTAATTTCTACTCTACTCGTAGCAAAAGTTAGTTGAAGGCAATCTGTAACATATAACCATGATGTACCACTGTTGGAATACAGCCTTTGTGCTCTGTTTCAAAAGGGTTTTCATAAAACTGAAGAAGGTACAAAAATAGCTGCTAAAGTGATCAAGGGTTAGGGCATCTTTCCTGCAAAGAAAAACAAACACTTTTGGTGCTTTGGTAAACAGCTGTGGAGTTCAGTGGCTGTAGGCTTCTGAACATTCATAATTTAAGGAGCAGAATTTGTAACCCCTTTTTGATAATATTAGAGTCATTCAGTGAAATTGATTGAAAATAGGTTTATGACAGGTAGAAAGAGATACTTATTCACACTGTGCATAGAATACTTTAATTACTACAGCATGTGATGAGGGCCGCTACCTTGGATGGTTTTAGTAGTTCATAGGTGATACACCTATGAACATAAGAGGCTCTAATAAGGTTCTAATAAGAAAGGATGTCTACCTCTGCTTGGCTTTGTATTGCTGTTTCCTTTCTCCATTCATTCAAATAAGATGCCCTCTCCTTTATTTTTGGTGTAGGACAGCCACAGTGACTGTGCTTCATGACTATGTGGGCTGCAGGACGTTTGAGGTGCCTTCTTCAGTGTCTGTGGCATCCATAAAAGAGTTAATTTATCCAGAGACGGGTTTTCCTGTAGCTGAGCAGTGTCTCTACCACAAGGGAAGAGAGGTAAGCTTCCTTAGTCTTCTGGAAAGCTTCCAGATACCCTTTTTGAAGTAGTCTTGAAATGGTTACTTTCCTTCTGAGAAATACAGGAAAGCATTAATTGACAGATTAGCTAAATTATAAATTGTTGTATTAGTAAGGATTATATTTCAATTATGGTTGATTCTGATTTCAGCATATAATTCCCTAAAAACTTGAGCCCAACCTTCCTCCTTGTGTTTCATATTAATATATCATATTGGCTAGGAACATAGGAAAAGCTGTTTAGTACTGAATCAGACCACTGCTCAGTGTTGCTCAATATTGTCCACACTGACTAGCAGCAACGCCCCAGGATTTCAGATAGGGGACATTCCCAGCCCTACTTGGGCATGCTGAGAATTAAACATTTGCATACATAGCAGATGCTGTGCCATTGAGCTATGAACCTTCCTCACATAGTCTTAAGAGATCTGGACATCAAGTCATTTGTTAGGGTAGTTTGTGATGTGCTGGTGGGTCTGGTCTCCTGCTCTTCCAGTGCAATAAGTAGGTCTTTACAATGAGCAGGGAAATGAGTGGATGGTGTCCAGTGATGCTGCTTCATGTGTGCAGTAGATTTCTGTGTGCCTAATGGAACCGATCTCCTGTGCAGCCCTCTGTGCACCCTCAAAATCTGCTCCAGAAGGCTGGGGTATCTTCTGGAGCAGACTTGGGTGGGGGTGGGCATGGGGAGAGAAGAGGAAGAAGACGTCTTCTTGTGTGAGTGTAATGCTGCTTGCATAGTGTTAGATATAGCCAGAAAACTTGTGATGGCTGGGGGAGAGTTATTCAAATCTTAAGGTGTATTGATTGAGGGCCCAGATTTTTAGAATTGATGCTTTGGAGCTGGTGCTTCATATTTCAAGAAAGCATGTCTTTGAATTTCTTTAAAAGTGTAGATGATGTTTACAATGATGAGGATCTGCTCTGATTCAAATTATATGCAACTGTATTTCATATAAATAGATACAATTATATATTTTATTGAAGCAACTTACACTGATGAAGAAGAAAGCTTTTCTTTTTTTATGTAATATGTGGGAAGACAGCCCCATAGGCCAAATTAGGACCCTTACTGGGCCCAATTTGATCCAGAGGCCAGAAATTCCCTATGCCTGATAAATATATCCTGATAAATATTTATGGCAGCACATGTGGTCATTTGTTGACTGGTTGTCTTCACAGGTTGAAGCAGTTTATATACTTTTGATACATTGCATACTCAAGAATGCACAACATTAAAAAAAAACCTTTCCCTTTCAGTTATCAGACTGTGTTGAGGTTGGGGACCTTCAGACTTCTCAGAATCATGTATTTCTAAATCTTTTGTCAAAGGGCCTAAAAGGAGGAGGTATAGTAAATTACAATAAATCTTCCCTTTACCCTTGCATCTCTCATTTCTCCTCTTTTTTACTATTTTTCATCTCTGCATATATTCATTTTCAAAACAAATTACAAAAACAGATTTCTATCTAAAGGAAAAAATTGCAGTGTACATTCCTGTATGACTCAATTTATCTTATAGTGCGAATGATTTAAGACATACGCTTTTCTTTCAAATATTTTCAGCAATTTTATCCTTTTCATCAGTTTATAGTGTTACATTCCTAGCCTGTAATCTATGAATTAACAATCTGCAATACAAACCTGAAACTAATAATTGCAGTAGTGTCCTGAAGAGTAACAATTATTTGTCTTTTCTCCCTAAAACAAGTACATGACATTTTGCTTCTTCTGCATTTCTAGGTCGTTTTGGACAAACAACTCCACCGCTTGTTGATTTCCTTAAAGATATTTTAAGAAGATATCCAGAAGGAGGACAGATTCTTAAGGTACAGTGTAACAACATATTTTAAAATAAGGAATTCAAGGAAATTAAAGTAAGGAAAACATTTTAAAGTAAGAAAAACAATACCTTGCTATAAATATGTTAACGAACAGTGCTTTGCACATTTTTAAATATGGAACTGGGGTACTGAATAACATTATTGGTTCTGTTTTTCCTCCTGGTTTAATGACAGAAGGAAATTAGAAACTTCCGTTTGTTATTTTACAGTACACCATGATTCAACTGTTCATGGGAAACTATGGTTTGTCCAAACCATGGGGTTAGTTTTGTGTATGCGTGCCAACCAAGATATTAGACCATGATTTATTGACAGAAGCTGGAGCTTGTAATGTCTTCCCCTCTTAAGTGAAGAACAGGGTAAGAAGAGTGGGATACTTGGAAGCCTGAGGCTTGCTTTTGCTTAGGTTCTTATTGAAAAACCATTGCTTTTTGTTGTATTTGAACTGTGCTTATAGTTTTGTTGACAAGTTTTATATTTGTATATACAGTGGTACCTCGGGTTACAGACGCTTCAGGTTACAGACTCTGCTAACCCAGAAACAGTACCTCAGGCTAAGAACTTTGCTTCAGGATGAGAACAGAAATCATGTGGCAGCAGCAGCGGGAGGCCCCATTAGCTAAAGTGGTACCTCAGGTTAAGAACAGTTTCAGGTTAAGAACGGACCTCCAGAATGAATTAAGTTCTTCACCCGAGGTACCACTGTATATGGTAGTTTAAGGAGGTGTCACTATATAGGTTCCACATAAGATAAGAATCTCAGAATTTGAAATGCTGATAATTTACACAAAAAATATATGTTAACTATATATTGCCTTTAAGTATGCTTGACCAGCATGGGAATAATGCCTTTAACAAAAAGTAATTGAAACATTTGGAACTTGAATGAGATATTAACGCCACCATCTTCCGCTATGTTGTATCTTAGTCTATATTGCATCTAATCACTCCATCACAAGCAGAGGTGAACACAGTAGTCGAGTAGGATATCTGCTGATGTTATTTAATCCCATTTGTTAATTATTGCATGTTATTACATAGCTCTCGATATTTGTTTTGTTTTCAGGAATTGATTCAAAATGCAGAAGATGCTGGTGCCACAGAAGTTAAGTTTCTATATGATGAGACTCAGTATGGGACAGAGTCTCTGTGGTCTAAAGACATGGCACAATATCAGGGTAAGTTATCTTTTCCTTATCTAATTTTCTTCCTGAATTATTAGTTTTCTTGTGGTGTAGTGATATACTGAGGAGCATAGCTAACTCTAAAACATTGCAGCTAGGCTTACATTTAACATTTGGCTTTCAAAAAGAGCTATTTGGTTAGTAATCCAGTTGTATCAGTTTGTGGCTCAAGATAATTGACTCTAGGCTTAAACTACCATTTAATCGATCTGTGCTGTTGCTAGTTAGGTTTATCATGAAAATGAGTTAGAAACAAGTGTTTGGATCTTTAAAATATGTAAGACTAGTCCAGAATTATAGAATCAGTTGGGGTTAAAGTCAGTTTCCGTTTGTATCCGTATTCTTTATAGTACTCAGTAATTTAATTATAAACATCTAAATATCTATGCTGTTTCCAAATCAGCCTATATTTTTACATTTACCATGTCTCCCCCACCCCCTTTAGGTCCTGCACTTTATGTATTCAACAATGCAGTTTTTACCCCCGAAGACTGGCATGGAATTCAAGAGATAGCAAGAAGCAGAAAGAAAGATGATCCTCTTAAAGTTGGAAGATTTGGAATTGGTTTTAATTCAGTTTATCACATTACAGGTAGTTACAATGCATTTTTTATGCTGCAGAATTAATGTTGCATTTGGGGGGGGGTGAACACCATCTGTGCATTCACTTAAGGCTTGCTCCAAGTTTAAAATTTGTTTATTCTAAGATTGAGCTTGTATAAAGGGAAGAAAAGACTGTCGAAAGTAGTTTCATTTAAAACATTTATTGGGTGCTTTGTAGAATTTTTGTCTCCTGAGCATTGGAGGAAGACTGGGGGTTCTGTGGTGTTTAATTTTCCTCTTTTTAGTAGTGGTTTCTTCTTTTCCTGCTTAATTTAATGTATGTGTTAGATTGTTGTATATGTAATAATTGAAGGGATTTTAAGGTTTTTGTTGTTGTTGTTGTAGACTTGTAAACAAGCTGTTCATACTTTTTTGCTTCTATTTTGTAGATGTTCCTAGTATATTCAGTGGTGACCAAATTGGAATGCTGGACCCTCATCAAACACTTTTTGGACCCCATGAATCAGGTCAATGTTGGAATCTAAAGGATGACATCAAAGAAATTAATGAGTTGACAGACCAGTTTAAGCCTTTCATTGGTGTGTTTGGAAGCACTAAGGAAACCTTCAATACTGGTCATTTTCCTGGTACATTCTTTCGTTTCCCTCTTCGCCAGCAGCCTTCCCAGTTAAGTAGCAATCTGTACAACAAGGAAAAGGTTCTTGAATTATTTGAATCCTTCAGAGCGGATGCAGATACAGTACTCCTCTTCCTTAAAAGTGTGCAAGATGTCTCATTACACGTTAGGGAAGCTGATGGGACCGAGCGACTAATTTTTAGAGTCACTGCCAGTGAGAATAAAGCTCTGAAGCACGAAAGACCCAACTCTATCAAGATTCTGGGAAATGCAATAAGCCAATATTGTAAAGGTGTTCCGAGTAATAGTATAACATGTGTGACATACCACATAAACATAGTTTTAGAAGATGAGTGTGTTAAAGATGCACAGAAGACATCGTGGTTGGTATGTAACAGTGTTGGAGGACGAGGAATATGCAATGAATTGGACTCTTTGGCTGATGACTTGAAGTATATTCCGACTATTGGCATAGCAATGTCTTTATCAAGTGATGGAGAGGGAAAAGGAGCTGCAGCGCAGTTTTCAGGAAGAGCGTTTTGTTTTCTTCCATTACCTCCTGGCGAGGAAAGTAAGACAGGACTTCCAGTCCACGTGAGTGGGTTTTTTGGCCTTACAGATAACAGAAGAAGTATCAAATGGCGAGAGCTTGATCAATGGCGAGATCCAGCAGCCCTGTGGAATGAGCTGCTTGTGGCCAATGTGGTCCCCAAAGCCTATGCAACCCTCGTATTGGAAGCAATTAAACGAATGGAAACAGAAAAGAATTCAGATTTCCCACTGTCAGCTGAGAGAATTTATAGATTATGGCCACAAAAAAACAAAACAAAAGTTCACTGGCAGCCAATTATAGAACCTCTTTTGAATGAATTGTTCCAGAATGAAGTTATTTACTCCATCACTGATAACTGGATAAAGGTTGAGGAGGTATATTTTTCAGAAATGGATGAGAGTTTGGAATACACCCAAGCTGTGCTAAACTACCTCCAGGGCTCGGGGAAAGAGGTTGCTAAGGTACCAGACAATATTGCTAATGCAGTTGACCTGATTGTTTCTAGTACAAAACCTGTGAAAAAAGTGACTCCTGGTACAGTGCGGCAAGTATTAAGGCAATCTGGACACAAGGGACCAGCTGATGAAAAGCTTCATGTCTTAGATTTTGTGCTTAGTGATGGAAACTACAGTGAGCTTATTGGACTGGAGCTTTTACCATTACAAAATGGGAATTTTATTTCATTCTCTTCATCTACATCAGATCAGGATGCAATTTACATAACTTCAGAAAGTTTCCCAAGGTATAACATGCATTTTATAGCGTATTTTATAATGGTGTAAGTTTTTTATTTAAATGTTACTCTTTATAGTTCACAGAGTATAACATATACAGTTCTGTACAATGGAGTCACAGAACTGTGCATGTCTTCCTTTTGTGAGCTGGGAATGGAGGCTGTGGTTTGGCATTTGGCCACATACTCAGATGCAGCACATCTTTATGACCATATTCCCATGCATGCTTAGTAAGCATCTTGTAATGTACTTGCCTACCCACTAGACAATACTAGAAAATCATGAATGCATTCCACTTGTCTATGGCTGGTGGCCAGGGATTGACTGTGGTATATGAGGGAAGAGTTTTAATTGTCTCCCCCCACCCCATCCCCATGCTGCAGTCTCAATAGTAATTGCTTCCCCTCTCCAAGAGTTGCTATTCCTCCTAGGAGAGGTGTGACACAATGGTGTTTTTTGTGAGGTGTGTGGCCACAGTGGGGCTGTCTTGCTGAAAAATCTTGGCTGAGGTATACCGTAATCATTTGCTTGGGATGGAACATGGAGAGGATAAGAACTTATTATTCACTAAAAAATTAATGAATAATATTACTACATTTACAGTATTTGTGCCTTTGAAAAATGACACAAGTTATATGGATGATCAACACTCTCTTTTTAATGACATACTAGGTCCCTCTTCCCAGGTCTTGAAGGAAGAATACTTGCTGATGACCTGAAGCCACAAGTTCTGGCTGCTTTGAAAGATGCTGCCAAAAGCAGAGGTAAAATATGTTTATAGAGCTTATCATGTCACAAGTACAGTCCACTAAAATGCATACACTGTAAGCTAATCAGGACACAAAACACTTAAGAATGGACATAAGTAAAGACAAAAGGAATGAAATACAGTGGAAGCACAGGTTACAGTGGGGATCCTTTCCGGAGGCCCCGCTGCAACCTGAAAACGGCGCAACCCAAAGCGTCGCCTCTGCGCACACATGCGGCATGATATAGCACTTCTGAGCGTGTGCGAACGGCGCAAACAGAAGTAACCTGTTCCGGTACTTCCGGGTTTGTTCTGGTCACAAGCCGAGGGTGACGTAAGTTGGAGGCAACGTAACCCGAAGCTCCACTGTAATTCAAAAGAAATTTTGAATGATCCATAATCATTTTATGTATTCATGAGAGTCAGGTTTATTACTGAATCAGAAAAAATGAAAATTTAGAAGCAAATATCCTTGTTGGAAAAATGTATCCATTGTGTACTACAGTTAGTATGTGCTGTTGTTCATGTTGCTCAACACAGAAAAAAAAATCATGTGTGAACCATTCTTCAGATTTAAAACTTGCTGGGAAGAACTGGCTCACTTTATGTCAACTTGTACGGATCTTCAGTATGCAATATTGAGATTACAATATTGAAAAATAGCCACATCCTAGTGAGTGCTACCCTTATTTTTCTTGTGTTCTGTGTAGAAGTTAGCAAACTCTGACAAGAACTGTCTTTATTTATGCCTAGCTTTGCACAAAAAACTTTCAAAAGAAATAACAGATGCATTGATAAAATAATAATGCAACATGCTGAATAAAAGTAGAACTGCAACAGAGATTTCGACAGTTGTTGCTATATACAAAAGGTCACTCATTCCTTTAGTATAACAGGAAAATTTTCATTCTGGTTATTTGAAAGAAAATGGTTAATGTGCGTATGGAAGAATCCCTTTTATCCAATCAAAGCAGCCATTTCCTTATATAAAAGAATGGACAAATCACTGCAGTTACAGTTTGCTCTGGCACACATCATAGTTGTCATGTGTCATTATTATTATCATCTTCATTTCCTCCTTAAAGTGCATTTCATTATATTTTAGCCCAACAGCTTCTCTGGGGATTTTCAGGTAGGACTGTTGTCTGAGTAACTGCTGAACAAAAGTCTAGCATTTGTGTGCGTTTGATTACTGTTTGTTCTGCTTGACTCATGTTCCAGAATGGTAATGGTTACAGCCCTGGTTCACTTGTGTTTTTCCCGATTTTAATTACTTACACTAATACTGCTTAAAGACATATTTGAAAAATAATTTCTGTAAGGTTATAAGAAGAATATTTCTCAGGAAGCTGAAGAAACTTGTGAATGCTATACAATATGTGGTTCATACTTAGTTTTACACACAACAGTTTTCATTATGAGCAAATTTGAATTAGTAAAGTCTTCCGCTAGGAACTGCACATAGATTTATAAAAGCTTTGTAAAGATTGTGTGTATAAGTTGAGCTGATGCAATAGGACGTGTATCTTAATTAAAAATTATATTGCAATTTATTCATAAAAGAGAAAGACAACAATAAACAGGACACCCAGATAAAAAGCAAAAAAGTTCCTATCTCACTTCCTGTGCCCTTCAAGTTCTCAAGAGAATTATTTCATAAAATTTATATGCCACACCTCTAATTTACAAAAAGACTAAAACTTAAAATTGTTTTAAAATACAATTTGAAAGATGTATTTAAAATGTTCAAAAGATAATTAAAAATTACAGTAAGCTAAAGAGATTGAAATACATGGAAGTGCTCTATTTGTCTGGATAGGCTTGCCTGAACAAAAATGTTTTAAGCAGTTATGAAAAGAGTACAATGAAGATTTCTGTCTGATCCCAGTACACAGGGAGTTCCAAAATGTAGGTGCTGCCACACTAAAATATTAATCTATTTTTTAAACAATTTTTATTGTTTTCAGAATGAACAAACAACATCTTCCTGCCTTCAAGAGTGCTACATATTGCCAAACAAATACAATACAAATAATAAATAAAAACATATTCCCATAAGTCCCTGTGAGAAGTTGGTGGTCTGTATCCATGTTTTTTTTGAAGTTCATATTAAATAAAATTGAACCAAGTTACAGAAAATCTGACTTTTTGTTGGCTCTTTGCTCACGTTACTTGTCTATCAGGTTTTTTCATGAGAATTAGCGTCCAGAACAAATATACCAATATTCGATTAAGTTAGGATCTACAGTTTTATGATCTAAAGATCTCCAAACTTTAGCAATGGTATAAAATATAAATTTCTTATGTGTGCAGAATGAATATAATGTGGCACATGTGACAGTGCAAGTTTATGCTAGTTTAACACTTCAAGAGGAATCATGGTATTAATAATAAGAATGATAGAATTTATATGCCTCCAATAACCGGAGGTCTCAGGGCAGTTCACAAAACAAAATCAAAATATAAAAGCACAAAAGCACAAAATATATAATCAAAGTAAAAACAACCCAATAACCCCCCCGCCCCCAACCCCCCCCCCCACATTTTAAAAGGGCATAGGATGTGCCAGTTTATCATGGCTGAATCATGTTATAATCCTAAGAGGGGGTAGCAGGAGATTCCATTCAACCCCTCAGGTGGTCTTAGTAGTGTAAGAAATAAAATTATAAAATCTAGGGTTACCTTTATTACAAACTCTTAAGCGCAGGGGAGAGCAGAAGAGTAACCATTCTCCCCCATAACTGGAGGGCGCCCTTTGCATGCCCACGTCCACATCCCCAATCCTCAGAGACTCCTGGCAGAGCGCTCCTGGTCCACCTCCGCTCGTCACAGCCCTTTGAGGTTCCTGCCAAACCTCAGTTCAAAATGATCCAGTTGCGAAGGGCGGAGGCAGAGCCAAGAGAGAGCAAACCAAGAAGGAGTAGTCTTCACTCCAGTCCGCTCTTTGTGTACGTAAGTGGGCAAAGCTTATTTGGGAGCTCTCAGTCGGCTCAAGAGCTTCACCCGCCCTACCCTCCCTTTGTTTATACTCTTTATTGCAGGTTCACTTCTTTACAGGTATGCAGGCGCTGCTATGGTCTTACGATGGTGGCTGTTAAAGGACCCGGAAGGCATTTTCCCTGCATTGGCAGGTTTCGCCTTCCCCGTAGCAAAACGCCTCCCCCCCAATTCCCAGAGTTCCCCGTTAAAGGGGTTGTGTTGTGGGGAGTCACTGGCCATACACTGATAAGCTGTCAGTGCACTCCCCCCGTGTTGTGGTGAAATAGGGGGCGGCCTCACTGTGTAAACATACGTCTTCCAGAGCCAGCCCACTCACCAGACAGATATGATAACCCTGATGTGCCTCAGATCCCCGCCTGGGGACTAGGAGGGATAAACACCCAATGCCTAAGCCAAAGTCTTCCTACATCTGAAAGTTTAAATAAAGTTGTAGCCAATTTTAATCCCATAACATGTTGTTACAAGTCATTCATTCCACCCAGGTGGCTCCTGGGGTCGGGGAGGGGGTTCTGCCTGGGCACGCAATGGGATCTGCCCACATATTTCTGAGTGATTTGCAGTGGATCAACAAGGATTCTGACTTGCAGTTGTTTAAAATGGCAATAAGGCTACCCCCCTTTCTAAATTAGGCTGTTGAGATAAAGAAATGTGGGTGGGGGGAGGGGATACTTTGTGTGTGACAGGATTGTGAGCTCAGTTCTGGTAATGCGTACAGATTCCTGAGTTTAGTGTGTTCCTTAATTCTGAGTATGCTGCTCCACCTCCACGACTAATTTGCACCTTCCTCTGGTTGGTGGATCTTGGGGTTCTAGTAAAACAGATCTCATAAGCCTGAAGTCTGTTTGCCCCTGCCATAATTTATCTTATGGCAACTTCCAATATTTTTACAACATTTAAAGCTCACCCATAAGTAGAGTTGTAGATAGTAAATATGTAGATATTTTACAATTTCCATTTTGTTCTCCTTGCACTGTTTTTCCATGCATCTATGCAAAGACACTAAAATAGTGGTTAGGACAAAAGGAAGTGGTGGAAAAGTGCTTTGAAAGGGTGGTTCACTTCTACAGTTAAAATGTAGAAGAAACAAATCTTCTGTAGAAAAGTCATTTCCTCTCTTCAGATCTTCCTTTTAGATTGCATAAGGAATGCAAAATAGCATGCAGGTGTGTAGTGATAAAATGTGTCAAATGATTTTCTGGAAAGATGAGTTGTTTGCATATCTGTCTTTGCATGATTGGAATGGTAGTTGCATGGTGGATATTGAAAATGAAAACAATTATACTTCTGTGAATTTTTTTGTAAAAACAGGAGAAGAAATTCCACTGATCCATTAGGTGGAAAAGTAGTATTATTCTGGTGTACATTGAGAGACCTTTTCAAATTGCAACCTGTAATACAGTATTAATTTCAGTCTTGATTTAAGAGGTAGAAATGTTGGATTTGTCTAGTATTGTCTGCATTTTGTGTGTGTTTCTTGTGCTGATCTGGACCAACCGTCAGTCTATACTTTAGGTGCTTGTTAACAGAGTGCAATATTATACATGATAATAGTTCTGTGATTGAACTACCTTTTTAGGTTTTTCAAATAGCAGGGGATCTAATATGGATTGGTACCACTGTGTTGGGAAGCGTTTTTAAAAATCATTTTCCCTTGTAGCATTTTCCCAATGAAAAGTGCCCCACCCCAGCTGTTTTTTGCCCCATTAAGGACAACCTTTTGTGTACAGTCTGTGTACAAGTAAGGTTTTCCTAACAGAGCAAATAGCACTGGTGTCTTTTTTCTTTTTAATTTTCACCAGGAAATCAGCATGGATTGGAATAAATTTGAAACAATGCTAAAATCAAATAAATCAGGGTGTTTCTCAAAGATCTATTGAATGATTGTTAAAAAAATAAGAACACAGTTAACAATTGCATGCTGAAATAAAATAAATATATAAATAGTGACATCCAAGAGAGCTGTGGCAATTTCTGTTTCAAAAGGGCTCCAATTTCTCAGTTGCTGTGATCTATAAAGAAAACTATTTTAAAATGGCAACTCAATGGTACTAGACTTTATCAAAAAGTAAAATGACCAGTAAATCAAGAGAGGGAAAATGCTGGATTTGTCTGGAATTAATTTGATTTCTACCATATGTGCTGGCAGTGTAAAAAAGCAAAGTCATATTGGTAAATGGTGATGGGAATGCTTAGAGAAGTATTTCAGAGACAAATAGAAGCAGATCCACTGCTGTACACAAGAACACAGAGTGTTGTGGAATATTAAATACAAGTTTTACTTATAGTGATCATTGAAAGGACAGTATACTTATACCAGATCCCAACTATAGTAGTGGGGTTTCTGCTGGCTGAGCCAACCTGAGCCTGGTAGATGGGAAACAAGCCTTTAAAATATGGTTCAAGTAACACCACCCTTTTTTCTGGCTTAACACACTGGGTTAAATGGCTGCTCTGTACAGATTTAGGAGTGCAGCAGCCGTAATCCTTACTTCAGAAGTCCATGCTTGCTCATTCCTGCTAAGCCATGGTTTGGCTTAACGTTAGACGTGAACTGCGCCAGTGTGCAGGACTAATGTAGAACAGTACCACACATGCTGTGTGCTAAGAAAGGAAACAATGATGAAGTGGTAGACTACTTGTCCTATTGTCTGCCATCCGAAGATAATGTAATTAGTCGGTAGGGTGTCAGGGTAAGTACCAGCAGCTGCCTCTTTCCATGGCTGTAGTAAAGGTGTGCCTCAAAAGGGCAAGTAACCTTTTTGATCAGAAGAAGTCATGGCTTGTTGTTAAAATACTTTGCACACTATCCCATGGCCCTTTGTGGATCATAGCAAGCCTTCAGCAAGGCCAAGTGTGACGGTTTCCTAGCAAGCAGAAGATCTATTAGAGAACAACTCTAAAATAACTGGTGCCCTTTTCTTTTTTACTGGCAATTTATGGTTTTAACAAAAATCTTACTAAATGTCACTCAGTTTAATACCTTTTATTTTTTATTTCAGGAAGAGCATGCACTCAGCTGCAGCTTCTCAACCCTGAACGATTTGCACGGCTCATCAAAGAAGTTACGAATTCTTTATGGCCTGGTAAAGACATTGTGGTACAATGGTTTCCACTTTCTGAAGATAAAAAGCACCCATCTGTTTTGTGGCTTAAAATGGTATGGAAGAACCTGTATATACATTTCTCTGAAGATTTGTCAATGTTTGATGACATGCCACTTATCCCAAAAACAGTACTAGATGGGGATGAAGAAGTCATGGAACTTATTAGATTAAGGACTCCATCACCAATTATTCTAGAAGATGGATCTGAAACTCAGCTTCCAGAATTTTTACCCGTCATCATTGAACAACTTGGTGGGATTGTGCTTAAGAAACTAGACTCATCTATACAACATCCACTTTTAAAAAAATATATACATGCCCCATTGCCAAGTGTAGTTTTGCAAATAGTGGAAAAACTTTCCATACAGAAATTGACCAATAAGGTTGCATCATTCCCTGTATCATACAAAAATGCCCTTAGAAACTTCCTTGCTAGTTTAACTGATACTACGGAAAAAGAAAAATTAATAATTAATGAGCTAATCATATTTAGGAGAATTAAACAATCACTTGATGAAGAAATTACTTTTACTGCATTGAAAGGCTGTAAGGTACTGCATCACACTGCCAAACTTCCACCTGATATAAAACTCTCTGTTTCACTAGTTGACAGCAGTGACGAAGCTACCATTCGTTTAGTAAACATACTAAAAGCAGACCAGCTAAAGAGCACAGATTGCATGAAGTTTATTTTAAAAGATATTCAGAGTGACTTTTATTGTAACGATGAAGCAACAAAAGTTATGCTATGGATTCTGGAAAATCTAACTTTCCTAAAAAATGAAAATGCAGAAGTGCTGGATTGGCTGATGCCACTGAAATTCATTCAAATTTCTGAAGGAAAAATGGTGTCAGCTAGTGAACTTTTTGATCCCGACGTAGAAGTACTACAAAATATGTTCTATGGGGAGGAGGAACATTGCTTTCCCCCTAATGTTTTTAAAACATCTGCTGATACTCTTCATTCTTTGAGATTAATAGGCCTAAAAAGTGAAAGCAACTTGGAAGAGAAAGACATTTTGAGCATAGCTCAAAAAATTGAAAGCTTGAAGGACTGTGCTAGTACAAATCAAGATGCACTTAGAAGGAAAGCCAGAACTTTGTTAACGATTTTGAACAAAAATTATCCATTACTTCATACACCTGAAACAAAAGCAATGTTGAAAAAAATCAAATGGATTCCAGCATGCAAGGAAAGACCTCCAAATTACCCAAGTTCCTTAATTTGGAAAGGTGATCATTGCAATTTGTGCTCTCCACCTGAAATGTGTGACTTATCTCAGGCCACCTTAGTAGGTTCCTCTGTTCCTCTTGTGGAAGGTGTCCGACCAAATGTTGAAAAAGCACTGGGGATCTCAATCAAACCTAACATAAAATCAGTGTTAAAACATTTCAAAGTAGTTGTAGACTGGCACAGTTCTAAAAAATTTAGTGATGAAGATTATTATCAATTTCAGCACATTTTGCTTGAGATTTATGGCTTCATGAATGATCACTTAGATGAAGGAAAAGAATCATTTAAAGCCTTGAAATTTCCCTGGGTCTGGACTGGTAAAACCTTTTGTTCGTTTTCTCAAGCAGTGATAAAGTCAGCACATGATCTTGATCTTCAGCCGTATCTACATAATGTGCCAAAAACAATGGCTAAATTCCACCAGTTGTTCAAATGCTGTGGGTCAATTGAGCAGCTGACACCAGACCATGTTTCCATGGTCATTCAGAAAATATACCTCAAAAGTGAACAATCTCTTACAGAAGAAGAGAGCAAGCAAAATCTTTCTATTATGTTGAATATTATAAGGTGGCTGTACAGCTGTCAAATTCCAGCTAGTTTAAATACACCTGTTCCTGTATATTGTAGCAAAAAACCTTACAGGCTTACAATGAAACCAATCCATGAATGCTGCTACTGTGATATCAAGGTTGAAGACTTAAATGATTTGCTAGATGATGCGGTTGAGCCAATAATTTTGGTTCATGAAGATATACCCATGAAAACTGCAGAATGGTTGAATGTGCCATGTCTTAGTACCAGGTTGATAAATCCAGAAAACATGGGATTTGAGCAGTCGGGTCAAAGGGAACCTCTCACTGTAAGAATTAAAAACATTTTGGAAGAATACCCTTCTGTATCCGATATCTTCAAAGAGCTGCTCCAAAATGCAGATGATGCTAATGCAACAGAGTGCAATTTTTTGATTGACATGAGGAGAAATAATGACATAAGAGAAAATCTTTTGGATCCAGGAATGGCAGCTTGTCATGGGCCAGCTCTCTGGTCTTTCAACAATTCTGAATTTTCTGACTCTGACTTTCTAAATATAACTCGATTGGGTGAGTCTCTTAAAAGAGCAGAAGTTGACAAAGTTGGAAAATTTGGCTTGGGGTTTAATTCTGTGTACCATATCACGGATATTCCGATCATCATGAGCAGAGAGTTTATGATTATGTTTGATCCCAACATCAATCATCTCAGTAAACATATAAGGGACAAGTCTAATCCTGGGATCAAGATTAATTGGAGTAAGCAACAGAAAAGACTTAGAAAGTTTCCTAATCAGTTCAAGCCATTTATTGGTGTGTTTGGTTGTCAGCTCCCGTTGACGGTGGAGGCTCCTTACAGTTACAAAGGGACACTCTTCAGGCTTTCTTTTAGAACACAACAGGAGGCTAAAGTGAGTGAAGTCAGCAGTACTTGCTACAATACTGCAGACATCTATTCTCTCGTGGATGAGTTTAGCATTTGTGGACATAGACTGATAATTTTTACTCAGTGTGTAAACTCCATGGTTTTGAAGTATTTGAAGTCCGAGGAAACCAACCCTGGTGTAGCTCAAGAGACTGTGACTATTAAAAAAAATCTGTGTTTGTCCAAAGCAATAACTTCCCCTGTTACAAGTGTTCTCAAGGAAGCTGCCAAACTCATGAAAACTTGCAACAGTAGCACAAAAAAGCTTCCTACTGAATCACCCAAGTCATCGTGCATATTACAGATAACAGTGGAAGAATTTCATCATGTGTTCAGGCGGATTGCTGACTTGCATTCTCCAGTTTTTAGAGGCCCAGAAGATGACACAGTTTCTTTCTTTGAAATGGCTAAATCTGGACAGACAAAAAGGCCTGCTGATGAACTGCCACAAAAAACAGTAGACTCTACAACATGGCTTATATGTTCTTGCATGGATACTGGGGAGGCCTTAAAATTCTCATTACAGGAAAGTGGAAGAAGGCTAGGACTTGTCCCATGTGGATCAGTTGGGGTTATGCTATCTGAAGCACAGGATCACAAATGGACTGTGAAACCCAATTGTAGCAACTTAGGAGAAGTGTTCTGCTATTTACCTCTTCGAATCAAAACAGGTCTGCCTGTTCACATTAATGGCTCTTTTGCTGTTACATCAAACAGAAAAGAGATATGGAAAACTGACACAAAAGGAAGGTGGAACACAGTATTTATGCGGCATGTTATAGTAAAAGCTTACTTAGAAGCTCTTGTGGTTCTACGCAACATGGTAGTTTGTGGGGAGCTAAATGACTACAATTACTATGCAGTATGGCCTGATCCTGACTTAGTGCATGATGATTTTTCGGTCATATGTCAGGGGTTTTATGAAGAAATAGCTCACACAAAAGGCAAAGAAGGGATCAGAGTGTTCTCTGATGGTTCATCTTGGGTGTCTATGAAGAATGTGAGATTCTTAGATGATTCACTCTTGAAACGTCCAGACATAGGACCTGCAGCTTTTAATATTTTTCTAAAGTACCTTAAAAAAACTGGCTCAAAAAATCTCTGTGCTGTAGACCTTCCATCTTGGGTCAAAGCAGGCTTTGAAGAAGCAGGGTGTAAACAGGTGTTACTAGATAATACTTTTTCAGAGAGGCAATTCTTTTCTGAAGTCTTTTTCCCAAATATCCAAGAGATTGAGGCAGAGCTTCGTGATCCTTTAATGCACTATGTTCTGAGTGAAAAGGTTAGCGAGTTCTCAGAAATTCTCTGTGTTACACCGTGTATTCCCTGTTCTTTGACTGAGCACCCTCTGGTGGAACCTTCAAGACTGATCCATCCTGAAGGTCGGGTTGCAAAGTTGTACGATAAAGAAGATGGAAGATTTCCCTATGGCACCAGTCAAGATTACCTTAATCCCGTGATTTTGGTCAAATTAGTTCAGCTAGGTATGGCTAAAGACGATATTTGTTGGGAAGACTTGGTTGAACGTGCCGAATCTGTAGCAGAAATCAACAAGACTGATCATGCTTCAGCTTGTCTCAGAAGCAGTATTCTGTTAAGTCTCATAGATGAAAAAATTAAATGCAGAGATCCTAGAGCTAAAGAATTTGCTGCAAAGTTCCAAACAATACCATTTCTGCCATTTCTCACAAAACCAGCAGGCTTCTCTTTGCACTGGAAGGGTACTGATTTTGGCCCTGAGACAATGTTTTCAGCGATGGACCTTTTCACTGCTGATTATCAAGATATAGTTTGTCTGTTAAAACCAATCCTGAATGAAAATTCCCATTCCTTTAAAGGTTGTGGGAACATTTCTCTGGCAGTCAAAGATTTTTTAGGCTTGCTTAAGAAACCAACTGTTACTATGGTTATAAACCAGCTGAAAGAAGTTGCAAAGTCCTTTGATGGAATTACCTTGTACCAAGAAAACATCACCAATGCTTGCTATAAATATCTCCATGATGCCCTGCTACAAAATGGAGCAACAAAAGCAATCATAATTGAAGAGCTGAAAAACTGCAGTTTCATTCTTGTTGAAAATGGCTATGTTGACCCCACAAAGGTGTCTTTTCATCTTAACTTTGAGGCAGCGCCATATCTCCATCAACTGGCTAATAAATACAGAAACAGCTTTCGTGAGCTATTTGAAAGCGTAGGCGTGCGTCATGCTTTTACAGTAGAAGATTTTGCTCTGGTTCTTGAGTTAATTAATGAGGAAAGAGGAACTAAACCACTGACTGAAGAAAATTTCCAGCTTTCTAGAAGAATCATCAGTGAAGGAATATGGGGCCTCATTAGAGAAAAGAAGCAAGAATTTTGTGAAAAACAGTATGGCGAGATATTGTTACCGGATACTCATCTTGCCCTTCTACATGCTAATACTTTGTGTTACAATGACTGCCCTTGGATCAAAGTGAAAGATACAACTGTAAAGTACTGTCATGCCGACATCCCTAGAGAAGTAGCAGTAAAGCTTGGAGCAGTACCCAAGCGACATAAAGCCTTAGAAAGGTATGCATCAAACATTTGTTTTACTACCCTTGGGACTGAATTTGGGCAGAAAGAAAAACTGACAAGCAGAATTAAAAGTATTCTTAATGCATATCCATCAGAAAAAGAAATGCTGAAAGAGCTCCTTCAGAATGCGGATGATGCAAAAGCTACAGAAGTTTGCTTTGTGTTTGATCCTAGACAACATCCAGTTGATAGAATATTTGATGAAAAATGGTCTCCACTTCAAGGGCCTGCACTGTGCGTCTTCAACAATCAGCCTTTTACTGAAGATGACATTAGAGGAATTCAGAATCTTGGAAAAGGCACTAAAGAAGGCAATCCATGTAAAACTGGCCAGTATGGTATAGGCTTCAATTCCGTGTATCACATAACTGACTGTCCTTCTTTCATTTCTGGTAATGATATTCTTTGTATCTTTGATCCTCATGCCAGATATGCACCAGGTGCAACATCAATTAGTCCAGGACGCATGTTCAGGGACCTGGATGCTGATTTCAGAACACAGTTCTCAGATGTCTTGGATCTCTATTTAGGAGATCACTTTAAACTAGAAAACTGCACAATGTTTAGATTTCCACTTCGCAATACAGAAATGGCAAAAACGTCCGAAATCTCCCCAGTGCCATGCTCAGACAGAATGGTGCAAAATCTTCTAGATAAGCTGCGTACAGATGGAGCAGAACTCTTGATGTTTTTGAACCACATGGAAAAAATTTCTATTTGTGAAATAGAGAAAACAACAGGAGCACTTAATGTGTTATATTCTGTAACAGGAAAAGTAACTGATGGCGATAGACTGAAACGAAAGCAATTCCATGCTTCTGTAATTGACAGTGTCACTAAGAAGAAAGAGCTTAGCAAGATACCTGTGCAACAAATCACTTACACTATGGATACTGAAGACTCTGAAGGTAACCTCACAGCCTGGTTAATTTGCAACAGGTCAGGTTTTTCCAACATTGAAAAGGTATCCAAGAGTGTTGTATCAGCTCATAAGAATGAGGACATTACTCTCTTCCCCCGAGGGGGAGTTGCTGCATGTATTACTCACAACTACAAAAAACCTCATAGGGCATTTTGTTTCTTACCCCTGTCCTTAGAAACTGGGTTACCATTTCATGTGAATGGACACTTTGCCCTGGATTCTGCCAGGCGAAATCTGTGGCGTGATGATAACGGAGTTGGAGTACGAAGTGACTGGAATAATAGTTTAATGACAGCATTGATTGCACCGGCCTATGTAGAACTTTTGATTCAGCTGAAAAAACGTTACTTTCAAGGTACCGATCCAACAGTGTCTGTGCTACACAACACATCTATGCATACAGTGAAAGACACTTTGAAAAAGTTTCTGTCCTTCTTCCCCGTTAACAGACTTGACCTGCAGCCTGATTGGTATTGCTTAGTGAAAGCAGTTTACAGCTGCATTCATGAGGAATCCAAACGTCTCCTACCTGTTGTGCGAGCTCCAAATGTCGATGGCTCTGATTTGCATTCTGCAATTATCATTACATGGGTTAATATGTCTACCTCAAACAAAGCTAGGCCATTCTTTGACAATTTGTTACAAGATGAGTTGCAACACCTCAAAAATGTAGAGTACAACATTACAACACGCAAAACAGTAGCAGAAAATGTGTATAGACTCAAACATCTCCTCTTAGAAATTGGCTTCAACTTGATCTATAGCTGTGATGAAACTGCAAATCTTTATCACTGTCTTGTGGATGCAGATATTCCAGTGAGCTATGTGACTTCAGCTGATGTCCGATCATTTTTGATGACATTTTCCTCTCCGGATTCTAATTGCCACATTGGAAAGCTGCCTTGTCGACTTCAGCAGACAAATTTAAAGCTTTTCCACAGTTTAAAACTTCTTGTTGACTACTGTTTTAAAGACACAGAAGAAAATGAAATCCTCATTGAAGGATTGCCTCTGCTCATTACACTTGATAGTGTACTGCAAATTTTTGATTCAAAGCGTCCAAAATTCTTAACTACCTATCATGAACTGATTCCGTCTCGTAAAGATCTGTTTATGAACACACTGTACTTGCGGTACAGCAATATTTTACTGAAATGCAATGTAGCAAAAGTCTTTGATATTACCAGCTTTGCTGATTTGTTGCCTTCTGTCTTGCCAAGAGAATACAAAACCAGAGGTTGTGTGAGATGGAAGGAGAATTTTGCAAGTGAATCATGGCTGAAGAACACGTGGCATTTTATTGGTGAATCTGTAAATGTGAAAGATGACCAGGAAGATGCAAAACCAACATTTGATGCTGTTGTTGATACTTTGAAGGACTGGGCATTGCTTCCAGGTACAAAATTTACCGTATCCTCTAATCAGCTTGTTGTACCAGATTGCGATGTCCTGCTTCCGCTCAGTCTCATGCATATAGCTCTGTTCCCAAATTCTCAGACTGATAAAGTTTTTCATGCTTTGATGAAAACTGGTTGTATTCAACTTGCTTTGAACAAAATTTGCTCCAAGGACAATGCTCTAGTGCCCCTTTTGTCAGGACACACAGCAAATATAGACAACCCTTCAAGCATTTTAAAAGCCATACATTACATGGTTCAGACATCAACATTTAAGACTGAAAAATTAGCCGAGAATGATTTTGAGGCCCTCCTGATGTACTTCAACTGCAACCTAAGTCATTTGACATCTGAGGACGACATTAAAATTTTGAGGTTGCTTCCGTGCTACAAATCTATCAGTGGACGATACATCAGCATTTCAAAATGTGGAGCATGTTATGTACTCACAAGAACTATCCCCTCTGTTGAAGTGGATAGATGGACACAGTCATCTTCAGCTGCCTTTCTGGAAGAGAAAATCCATTTAAAAGACCTGTACACTGTACTTGGGTGTGTTCCAGTAGATGACCTTGAAGTTTATTTGAAGCATCTTTTACCAAAGATTGAAAGTCTGTCTTATGATGCAAAACTAGAACATCTGATTTACTTAAAGAACAGGCTCTCTAGCATTGAAGAATCTTTAGAAATAAAGGAACAGCTGTTTGAGAAGCTAGAGAGCTTTTTGATAATTCATGATGCGTGCAATAGATTAAAACCTGCAAAACATTTTTATGATAGGACCGTAAGAGTTTTTGAAGTTATGCTTCCCGAAAAGCTGTTTATACCCCAAGACTTCTTTAAGAAACTGGAGCAGCTCACAAAACCAAAAAACCGTGCTGCATTCCTTGCATCATGGGTAGCATTTCTCCGAAATATGGGACTAAAATATGTAATTTCCCAGCAGCAGTTACTGCAGTTTGCTAAAGAGATCAGTATGAGAGCCAACACTGAAAACTGGACTAAGGATACACTGCAGAATACAGTGGATGTCCTCCTTCATCACATATTTCAAGAAAGAACTGATTTGCTATCTGGAAACTTCCTTAAAGAATTGTCTTTAATAGCATTCTTGTGTCCAGAACGTGCTCCGGCAGAAATTGTAAGATTCCATCCACAGTATCAAGAGGTTAATGGAACACTCCCTCTTATAAAGTTCAGTGGAGCCCAAGTAAACCCAAAATTCAAACAGAGTGATGTTTTGCAGCTCCTTTGGACATCGTGTCCTATCCTTCCAGAAAAAGCTACGCCTTTAAGTATCAAAGAACAAGAAGGAAGCAGTCTTGGTCCACAGGAACAACTTGAGCAGGTTTTGACTATGCTTAATGTGAACTTGGACCCACCTCTAGACAAAGTTATAAATAACTGCAGAAATATATGTAATATAACAACTTTGGATGAAGATATGGTAAAAACAAGGGTTAAAGTCCTAAGGAGCATCTATGAATTTCTTAGTACAGACAAAAGAGAATTCCGGTTTCAGCTTCGAGGGGTTGCTTTTGTGATGGTTGAAGAAGGTTGGAAGCTGCTGAAGCCTGAGGAAGTCGTAATAAATCTTGAGTATGAATCTGACTTCAAACCTTACTTGTACAAACTTCCATTAGAACTTGGCACCTTCCACCAACTATTTAAACACCTAGGCACTGAAGATGTTATTTCAACAAAGCAGTATGTTGAGGTTCTGAGTCGCATCTTCAAGAACTCTGAAGGAAAACAGCTTGATCCTAATGAAATGCGTACTGTTAAACGAGTTGTTTCTGGCCTGTTTAAAAGCCTTCAAAATGATTCTGTGAAGGTTAGAAATGACCTTGAAAATGTGCGAGATCTGGCTCTTTATCTTCCAAGCCAAGATGGTAGATTGGTAAAATCAAGCATCTTAGTTTTTGATGATGCCCCACATTACAAAAGCAGAATACAAGGAAACATTGGTGTTCAAATGCTTGTTGATCTTAGCCAGTGTTACTTAGGAAAAGACCATGGTTTTCACACCAAACTGATAATGCTGTTTCCTCAGAAGCTGCGACCCCGTCTCCTCAGCAGTATCCTTGAGGAGCAGTTGGATGAAGAGTCACCAAAAATTTGTCAGTTTGGAGCACTTTGTTCTCTCCAAGGCAGGCTCCAGTTACTGCTGTCTTCTGAACAGTTCATCACGGGACTAATTAGAATTATGAAACACGAAAATGACAATGCATTCTTAGCCAATGAAGAGAAAGCCATAAAACTTTGCAAAACCTTGAGAGAAGGCTTGAAAGTTTCTTGTTTTGAGAAGTTGCAAACAACACTGAGAGTTAAAGGTTTTGCTCCTATTCCTCACAGCAGAAGTGAAACATTCGCCTTTTTAAAGAGATATGGAAATGCAGTAATATTGCTCTATATACAGCACTCAGATAGCAAAGACATCAATTTCCTTCTAGCATTAGCAATGACCCTGAAATCTGCAACTGATAATCTGATTTCTGATACATCCTATTTGATTGCTATGTTGGGTTGCAATGATATTTATAGAATTAGTGAGAAGCTTGACAGTTTAGGTGTGAAGTATGACTCTTCAGAACCATCAAAGCTTGAACTACCTATGCCTGGCACTCCTATACCAACTGAAATCCACTATACTCTTCTTATGGATCCAATGAATGTTTTCTATCCTGGTGAATACGTTGGCTATCTTGTTGATGCTGAAGGTGGTGATATCTATGGGTCGTACCATCCAACCTATACATATGCTATCATTGTGCAAGAAGTAGAAAGGGAAGATGATGAAAATTCCAGTTTCCTGGGCAAGATTTATCAGATTGACATTGGATACAGCGAGTACAAGATAGTGAGCTCTCTTGATTTGTACAAATTCTCAAGGCCTGATGAAAGTTCTCAGAGCAGGGGCAGTGCACCATCTACTCCAACAAGTCCCACAGAATTTCTACCGCATGGACCAAGAACAATTCCTCCTCATTTTCCTGGAAGAGAGAGTCACAAATCCTCCTCCTCCTCCTCCTCTTCATCTAAACATCATTCTCCCAAAAAGGCTAAAGCAAATTCTTTATCAGAGATTTTGAGGGAAGTTACATCTGTGATGGAACAAGCTTGGAAGCTTCCAGAATCTGAAAGGAAAAAGATCATAAGAAGGCTGTATCTTAAGTGGCATCCAGACAAAAATGCAGAGAACCTTGATATTGCCAATGAAGTTTTCAAGCATTTACAAAATGAGATCAACAGATTAGAAAAGCAGGCTTTTATTGACCAGAATGCAGATAGGGCATCCAGAAGAACATTTTCATCATCAGCTTCTCGATTTCAATCAGACAAATTTTCATTTCAAAGGTTTTATACTTCATGGAACCAGGAAGCAACAAGTCACAAATCTGAAAGACAACAGTCTAAAGAGAAATGTCCATCTTCTACAGGTCCTTCATATTCCCAGCGGTTTTTTATGCCACCTACATTCAAGTCAGTTGGAAATCCCGTTGAGGCCCGTAGGTGGTTACGGCAAGCTAGAGCAAACTTTTCAGCAGCAAGAAATGACCTTCATAAAAATGCCAACGAATGGGTTTGTTTTAAATGTTACTTGTCTACCAAGCTTGCTTTGATTGCTGCCGATTATGCCGTAAGGGGCAAGTCTGATAAAGATGTGAAACCCACTGCACTGGCACAAAAGATTGAGGAATATAGCCAACAGCTTGAAGGCCTTACAAATGATGTCCACACACTGGAAGCATATGGAGTCGATAGCTTAAAAACTCGCTATCCAGACCTCCTTCCTTTTCCGCAGATTCCAAATGACAGGTTCACTTCTGAAGTTGCTATGAGAGTGATGGAGTGTACAGCATGCATTATAATAAAACTTGAAAATTTTATACAGCAAAAGGTATGAGGTTAAAGACATGGTGGTTTCATATAGACATGCCATGTTTCCAGCCAGTTTTCTCCAAGCTATTGTTTTTGGGTGGCATGCTACTGTTTGATGTGTCATGCAACCAACCATACAGCTTTGTGTGACAGGGGTGGGCGTCATCCTCTTATGCAGTGGGGGTGGGGGGAGGAAATCACGGTCACAGATGTGATAAGATCTGAATTCACTTTTGCTAGCAAAAGCTATATACTAATGTGATGGAATAAAATGTGACTTACTCATGCAGTTACTGTACTTTGGAAGCTATGCAGTTCCTAGCAGCTTATAAATAAAATGCATCTATTTCTGTGGCAATGAGGGCCAAATTAGATGTTCCATGGCAGACCTGGATTTGGGAAACTCGACTATCACTGAACATGCTTTGCTGCAAAAGCAGCCGGGGAAGGACACGATTTACAGTAGAAAAGTGTTTGATGGGAGTTTTTAATCCTTCCTTGGCCCAACACTTCTTTCTTGTGACCTCCCATTTTCTCCTGTAACAAAGCAAATGAGCGCCTGGGACCTGACTGGGGAACATGAGGGCATGTTGCAAAGGGAAAGTGATAGGCAGAAGGATTAATTGGCTCTATGCTCTCAGACATTTCTCCATTGTAAATTGTGCTTTCCCACTGCTGCTTTGCAACAGTTTGATGACATCCCCGGATCTGGTAGTGAACATCTTGTTCAGCCCAAGGTACACAGGATTTAAATGTTACATAATCTTGTTTTAAGCAACAGCTTCTTATTAGCAAAACTGTAGAACATGTATTTAAAGATTTGCAGGGAGACTGAGCTGTAAAATATAGTTATGTACACAGTACAACGGTAAAATTCACAGGGCTGAACTGCACTTTATGTAACCAAAGCCTAGGACTATGTCGGTAAAATCTGTTTGTATGTGCAGAGATATATATGTATGTATCCCCAGATTGCATCCATTCAGTTTTATCGTATGAGGTGGTGTCATTTTTCAGTGTACTAATGTAAGACTGAGTATGTTACTCTCTTTTAAGGAATTGAAAAGTTTGGAGAAAAGTCACTTTGAAGCATTCTGTGTATTCATTTGTTTGCTATGGACATTCATTTCACTCACAGTAATACGATCTGCAGGATCTGATTTATAGATTTGCTGCAGTTTTACATCAAACATTACATCAGAGGTTGCTAAGGGACCTTTGACACAGCACAGTATTTTATTCCTTAATGTTTGATGACTTAAACACAAGACTTATTTTCTTATAACATACCTTATGTGTTTTTGACATTGTTACATCTTTTGTTGAATGAGAATTGCATGTGCATTACCTAGTAAAATACTTGATTTTCTTTAGGGTTTTTGAAACGGAAACTGCACACCAAAACTCTTTTTTTTTTTTTTAAGTAGTCTTACTTCAGCTTTTTGTTTTGTTTATATATTTTTCTCATGAGCCATCCTTGGAAATAGTATAATGTCATAAAATATTTTGGTATACAGTGGGATAATTTTTTATTACATATTAAATGGTGCTGCAATGTTATGCTTTTTGATTTTGTCTCACACTGTGGCACATGAGATGTCTGATTTTTAGTTCATAATTTTTCTTTTATAAATTGTAATACTTTTGATAATGCCATGTAAATTATTCAATATTTGTAAAGAAAATCATGACAACATGTAAAATAAAGCTGCTGTGGATAGTATTTATGTTCCATTATTACCTAACTGTCGCAATTATTTACTTGATTAGTACACTGAAACTATAATTTTATGTAAAGAATGTAAAATAAAATAGGGGTAAGATGAGGTTAGATAAATTACAACCAAAATTATTGCAATACAGAAGGACAAAATAGTTGACAAAAGCTCTTTAAGAAAATGTGTAAATAATAAAAGGGCTTTCAGTGTAGAAAATATCTCAAGAAAATCTAGGCTTTGAACCTTCTGGTTGCAAAGCCGTATGATTATTTCTGTTGTTAAGTGCCATAAAATGATTTTAATAATAAACTTGAAGATTCTTCAAATTGGTGTGTTGAATATTTATGTATATTTATATGAGACTTCTTTCACCAGGACCTTTAGCAGAGGGGAAGAACTCACTTTGGTGAATCAACCAGGCCCTCTTTCCCATCCCTGCTGCTCTTTTTGTGATGATAAAATGTGTATTCATTGATTTACTACCCCAATTGCTTTTGGCGAACCATTGCAGATTTACTTTTTCATGCAGAGGCTATTTCATTCTAATGCCATCATGATCTCAAACTAACTATTCCAGTATATTCATATTTTTCTGCCCACATCTTTTTTAAAAAAACACCAAATAATTTCATCATAGGACGTTCATAGTAAATTTACTTTGTGTTTTTTAATATAAAAAACCCAGCAACATTAAAAATGCATATTTATTAACCTCTAAAGTTCACAAATCCAGTGTTGTGATAAATCAATTTTAACCTGTATTTGCTACTGTGTTTCATTTTATATGCTGCGGAGAGCACTGCCTCACGAGGATGAGTAGAAGTTATTTCTGGGGACTAACGGATAGAAAGAGTACTCAGGGCTAACCTTCTCTTCCTTTGTGGTCCATGAAGCAAGCCAGAGCAGGGGACCTCAGATGGCCATACCATATGGAGTAACAGAGAAGGGGAATTGTGCATGGAAGAACTGCCCAGCTCATCTACCTTTCCCTTTCTGCATTTACAACAGGGTTAGAGAACCTTTTTCAATCTGAGAGCCGTATTGCTTTGTGGGCAGTCTTCCAGGGGTTGCATGCCAGTGGTGGATGGGGTCAGAGGCAAAACGGGGCAGAGCAACGGGCCTGACTCTCATCCTTTGCATAGTAAGCTACAGTACATTCCACTATGCATGTGACAGTGGTCTCTGCATCCACCCACCCACTCCTCTCCATCCAGGCCTTTGTATCAGACAGACAAGCAAAAGGCGTGATCACAGTTCAAGGACACATTTCAGCCAGGCAAAAGATCTCAAGAACATGGAGTGGGGCCAGCAAAAGGCCTGGGGCACTGTATTTGTTTCCTGGGCCTGGGGTTCTCCATTTCTGCTGTAGAGCTCCACCCCCCGCCCCCATGCACTTTTGGTAGACCTGCTTCCATATATTTTGGGTGGTGTTCAGCTAAACATTTGCATTGAATTAACGCTATTCCAATGGGACTTTGTCCCTCTCTCCTGTGTGACCTGCACTGCCCCACATCTGCTCTGGAAGGTTGGAGGAATGTTCTCCTTAGTTCTATGCTGAATACAATTCAATTTGATGCATTTCGATTTTAAATGTAAATGTTGCATTTCTGTGCTGTGTAGTAGCATCAGTGACTCTAGACGCTACTACAAAACCTGACTAAAAACAGCCAAAGAAAGTAGTCCAGACAAGCTGTTTATTGACATTCATTCTGATTTGTTTGCGGGGATATTATACGAAGATACGGCAAGCGTTATCTCACATTTTCCAATGCATTTTCCCATGTCACAAGAAGTCTGATAGTTTTGGGGAAATGGGTACGTGTGGAAGGGCACCAACTTCAACTGCAAAACCTGAGCTTGCCTGTATGTGACCGAATCCCACATGAAAATAGCAGCAGGCTGGAAGCACGCAGCGTGGGGTGTTAGCTGCTCATCTCGCAAGCCTGACTATAATACAGGCAAGTGGAAACGACATCAGCCACTGCCAAGTACAACTTTCCATCTGTGCAAACACAGACTTCATAGAGCCCAAAGGATATCTCAGAATCTCCGCTTGTTCCTTGAGGCAATTTGGGCAGCCGCAGTCCAGCATTAAGCATAAGCTGCATGGAAGAAAGACAGACACGAATGGATTTGTTTGTGTAGCAGTAACTTCGGAACAAAAAGTGTGGTGGCATCTTAAAGGTTAATTTATTACAGTGCAAGTTTTGTAGACCTGAGAACCCACTGGAGCCATGCCTACATAGAACTGTTGGCATGTGCTGGGCCCAATAAATTAAACGTTGACTCAATTGTGGTGATTAAATGTACATCAGAGGTTCCCTTTTAAAACTAATTTCTACTGTAGCCACATTGCAAATTTAAACAAAACCTCTGACGATTCCCCAAGTTGGGGAAACTCTTAATTTTTTTGTGGTTGCTGACACCTTAACAAACATAGCCCAGACGTGAAACATGGCTGAGACCTCAATGCAAAAGACAAATTTCAATAGGGCTTTGTGTCAGTAGACTTTATTCCCACAGCACCAAGCTCCTTCATGGAGGGCAAGATAACTGAGTGCAAAATGCTCTATAATTGCCGGGAAATGAAGCAAATGAAAATGTTCATATTTTAGAATGGGAACTTGATAACAGCTGAATGGAATATTAGATAGTTCTGAGTTCTGAATATGTTGATTGGTCATTTCACCATCAAGATAGCGTGACTATACATTTAGATAAAATGGAGTAACAGGCACTGCAAGGGATTAGTTGGCTCTTCGTGAAAATCACCAACTACTTAGGGCCAGCATAGTTCTCATATTTTGCTGAAACTAAAACCAGCAGGAAACTGGTAGGAAGACAGCCCAATGTCTGAAATGTCAATGCTGTTGTTCTGAATACCAATTGTAAATGGATCGTTTGTTGATGGTAGATTAAGAAATAATTAAAATCTCACCATGCTATCGCTGCTCTGCAACTTGATATCCAGATGAGAAAGAGCCGTAATAGTCCCACTTTCGGCTTTAATATTAATCCCTCGTGGAGCATCCATGGTGAGAGACCGAGTTGGCGATTCAAGCCTGAAAGAAACCAGAAGGAAGATCTCAGCATCTGAATAAATTGTGGTTTTATTTATTGCATTTATTTATAATTTATAAGCCTGTCCATCATAATACAACAACAACAACAACATGATGCAAAGCAGGTCAACACCATATTGTAAAATCAATTACCGTAAGGCAATTTTAAATATAAACTTTTAAAAAAATTTCAAACAGAATGCAGCAGATGAAACAACCAGCAACAGGCCACAATAGCTTCACATTATCCAAAAGCCTAAGTAAAAAAGAGGTGTTGATGATGGCTATTTTAGTGCAAGTGATACCGATTTAATGGGGTATTGACTTCCAAGTGAGAGTTTAGAATTCTAGCCTGGCAGCTGATTCTTCCTAGAAGTTACTGTTAGCCAGCAAGACAATGTTCCATGATGTGGTGGTGGCCTGTGCCAGATTCCTGGTGTAGTTGTGGCAGCTGAATCATCTCTACTGCCTGAATAGTCCTAGGACTGTAGCAGTGTGTGTGTGTGTGTGTGTGTGACATGCCTTTTTTAAGAAGCTAAACTTGAGTAGCATAACTCAACGACCTGGGTCACAGGCTCTGTAGAGTAGCTAGCTACCTGGATATATTTAGAAAGTTGTTCCTCTGTGAGCAGATTGCCCCACTATGTTCACAAGGTAAAAAAGGTTTTGACAATAAGGAACAGAGCTTAGGGGAGTGAAAATACAACCATCTTTAAAAGATAGTTATTGAAGTTGCAGACAAAAGCCTATTTCCCACGCCACATAAATCCAATACATTATCTTTGACATGAAGCAACGCAAGGATAGAAAAGTGGAAAGCCAATGAGTGGGTGGGATTCCCCTGAGGTTTTGCAGTATTGCAGCAAAAGTGTGGGCTTGCTGCAATGAGTTTGTTCCATTAAGGCCAAGGCAGCTAACCCTGGAGAAGCTGAGAGAGATGGAGGCACACAATGTCTTTCAGGGAGCTCCCTTACAGACAGGTCCTGCTAAAGATGCTACTCCCTCAAATCAGGGCTAGCAAACCTCAGGCCTAGGGGCAAAACTGGTGCTCAAGGTGCATCTATTTGGCTTTGGTTGCCAGTGGATGACTCATGTCAGGAATTGGATAGGGGGAGAGCTGGTTCTACTGTAAAACATGTTGTACAGATTGAATAAGCTTTGAGAATTAAAACCTCTGTAAAGAGAAGCCACAAAATTAATTCTCACTTTGTAAACCTTAAACTCAAGTGAAGCCAGGAAACAAATTATGATACTCAAGAGCCTTGAAAACCAGTAGTGCCACAAGGTGGCAGCAAAGGACAGCAGTCAGTTTGACATCAACTTGGAATCATAGAATTGTGGAGCTGGAAGGGACACAGAGGGTCATCTAGCCCAACTTTCTTCAATGGAGGAATCAATAGGAAGTGAATCACTTCTGAATGCAAACAAGTATTCACAATCCAGCCAAATATAGGCACCACTAGTACTGGAATGTAGCCCGAAAGCAAAGGAAGCACCAAAACTAAAAATGCATGTGTGTGGTCAGTACCACGATGAGAGAGTGTTTGGAAGACTGTTGCGTATGTCACACTGAGCCCCATACTGGAAGAAAGGCAGGGAATAAACTTATTTTGTTTGGCACTCTGCTTCTGGTTTTTAAGGGCAAAAGCTATGCCTGTAGGCAAAATTGTTCTGTGATTCATCTAGTCCATGGGTACGCAAACTAAGGCCTGGGGGCCGGATCCGGCCCAATTGCCTTCTAAATCCGGCCCGCAGACAGTCTGGGAATCAGCCTGTTTTTACGTGAGTAGAATGTGCCCTTTTATTTAAAATGCATCTCTGGTTTAATTGTAGGGCATAGGAATTCGTTCATTTTTTTTCTTTTCCAAAATATAGTCCGGCCCCCACAAGGTCCAAGGGACAGTGGACTGGCCCCCTGCTGAAAAAGTTTGCTGACCCCTTATCTAGTCAAAACATTTGACATCCTTTCCTCAAATTTTTGTCTCTTTCATTATAACCAGAGTATTTGTTTTGTTTCGCACTATTTTTTCATCATTGTACCCGTGCCCCCATTCACCTTGTTCATTTCTTTGAGAGCCTTTCAGCACAGTCTTAGCACAGCTACTACTTCATGGCCCTGGAACCTAGTTTACAAGGCAAACAGCTTGAGGTGGCTCGTGCAAGTGAGCCAAGCCACATCTGGAAAGAGAAAGGGGGGGGGGAGGGAAACCCCAGGATCTCTGCTGCTTTAAACATGAGAAAAATCCTTTTCTAGATGTGGTGAGCAGTCGGATTTTGGCAGCTACCGAAAGCCATTCGCCTAAATATGTGGGGGAATGTAACCGGGTGCATTTCCTCACCAGCAAACAAAACTGCAGGGCAGACACGGCAATTGAGAAGGACAGAAGCAAACTTGCTTCTTCATGCTGCTGCTTCTTGCCATAGGGAATTTATGTAACAGCCCAGCCTAGTTCAGATCTGGATCTGGACATTGTGTGGGCAGCCTGCAGCTCTGAGACACACATTCCATTGTGTTTCTGGCTAGCATGACCAGCCTGTGGGTGGGTGTCTAAGCAGTTGGTTTGCATTTCAGGCCTCTTCAACCTGGGCAGCTCTTACATGAGCTTATTTTCCATGCTTGGAAATTGTTTTGCAGCTTCTACTTTTTGAGACAACATGTTTTTGCTGAACAAGTGCATTATGCACCTTTAAACAGGCATCTCAGCTCCAGGGGTTTCTGGAGGAGATGTATTATCTAGATCAGGCATAGGCAAACTCGGCCCTACAGATGTTTTGGGACTACAACTCCCATCATCCCTAGCTAACAGGACCAATGGTCAGGGATGATGGGAATTGTAGTCTCAAAACATCTGGAGGGCCGAGTTTGCCTATGCCTGACCTAGATCCATTTCAAGCTGCCTTCAGGCCTGGTTGTGGAACAAAGATGGCTTTGGTTTGCCTTGGTGGATGACTTACGCCAGGATTTGGATTGTGTGTCCTTGTTGGTGCTGCTGGACTTCTCTGTGGCTTTTGATGCAATCAACCATAGTATCCTTCTGGGCCACCTTGCTAAGACAGGACTTGGAGGCACTGTTTTACAGAGTGGGTCTGATCCTTTCTGGAAGGATGAACCCAGAAAGTGGTGCTGGAGGTGGGGAACGACCCCTGTTTGACACTTGGGCAATTGGCCTGCAGGGTCCCTCGGGGTTCTGTTCTGTCTCCCGTGCTAATGAACATTTACATGAAACCACTTTCATGTTGTCTCAATTCTAAACCAGTGTCTGTGTCACAGTCTGGTTCACGGGCGATCGAAGTCCCAGCTGAGGATGTCGGGACCGGGGACAAGATGGCGAGGTGGGAGCAGGAATGGGGGTCCAGAAACCAGGAGTCAGGAAGCCAAGAGTCCGAGGGCCAGAGAGCTGGGAGTCAAGAAGCCAAGCTTCAAGGATCAGGAAGCAAGAAGCCGAACACGGCAAGGCAGGAAGTGTGTTGCTGTGGCAAAGAGCCAAAGGGAAATGCTGACCTTATATCCCTTCCCAGCTTTTACCACCAGGTGCTGTGAGTTACCAATCGGCCTCACCTGTGAGGCTGCGCCTTGCCTCTTCAGAACAAACTTAGGAAGGCTTCAGTCCTGCAAAGTCCTATTGGTCACAGGGCCTGGCTCCTGCATGCACACCTGACTGTCATCACCCATGGATAGGAAACAACCACTGAAAAGGCCTTGTTGGGACAACGCTAACTGGGGAGAACCCACAGTTGACTCCAAGAAGAATGTAGGGCCCGAGATGGCTGATATTCAAGGAATTGCTCCTTTAGGTACTTGGGTTACTAGCTTCAGAGAAAACCCGATTTTAACTCTGGAAGAGCAGCTTAATATGGTCATGTTTGTGACTTTCACGTAAAACTAATTCCATTCCATGGACAGAGCTATCACATCAGATTCCTCCTCTGTTACATGAAGCTGTAGTTAATACACCTATACAGATCAATTCTTTTTATTTGTCATTTTGACATACTGTGTATATGGCCATGCAGGGCCTGATTATGCATAAGAGGTTATTTGCTTTTGAGACAAATACTTACCTCAGCTCTTTAGCGTTGTCAAGACCTCTAACACCTTTAATGAGTGGTGTTTCTATAGAATGTTCACAAAGAGCTCCTTCTGGCCCTGGAAGAGAGGAAACAAACCAGTTGTGGCTGTTAGGTGTCAGAGGGAAGAGACAGCTCCCCTTTCCCCTTACAAGGGGAAAAACAAAGTACGGTAGGAGATCCTCATAAAGGTCTCACAAAACATCAGGTTCACTGACCTTCGTGGAATGTGTGTACAAATTCAAGCCTTAAGGGAAGGCATTTTCAGACTGCATATGGTCTTGGAAACCTCTGATACTTGCTTCACATGTCACAAGGCGTTTCTGTTCAAAGTGTTTACAGGTTGTAAAATGTGATGATCCTATGATCCTTTTTCCTACGTAGATTTGATATACAGGTAAATAGCGTTTCTGTGCACTCTGGCTTCAGACACGGTCCTCTGCGTGCCAGAAGCGGTTTAGTTATGCTGGCCACATGACCCAAAAAACTGTCTGTGGACAAACGACAGCTCCCTCGGCTTGAAGCAAGATGAGCGCCGCACCCCATAGTCGCCTTTGACTGGACTTAACCATCCAGGGATCCTTTTCCTTTACCTACCTAAACATGTGTTGGAAGCTTCTACCTACTGGTGCTTTGACCGTATAGGGAGCTTCTGAGTATATGAGCAACAGAGGAAGTTGTCTTATACCAATTTTTTCACAGCCCTACTTAGAAGAGAAGAAGAAGAGTTTGGATTTGATATCCCACCTTTCACTCCCTTTAAGGAGTCTCAAAGCGGCTAACATTCTCCTTTCCCTTCATCCCCCACAACAAACACTCTGTGAGGTGAGTGGGGCTGAGAGACTTCAAAGAAGTCACCCAGCAGCTGCATGTGGAGGAGCGGAGACGCGAACCTGGTTCACCAGATTACGAGACTACCGCTCTTAACCACTACACCACACTGGCTTACAGACTCCAGTGACTGAACTTGAGACTTTTTGCATGCAAAGCTATGACCCATCTGCTAAAAGTGCAAGGGGGACAACTCCCTCTTTATTTGCAACCCCACAAGATAACCCATAAACAATTCCCAAGGGCCCTCCAACCCCCAAGTAGTTTTTCTTAGGGGGGGGGGCTGCAGAGATAAGGAGGAGGATGGGGAAATCCCATTCTGTGTTGCATTGAGGGAAGGTTCCAAGCAATCAAAAACTCATTTGTAGGATTGTGAGATATTAGGATCTTACACGGATGTCATGTTATGTTGAAGCCGATGTGGCCTGAGGGTGGGTTATTAACATAAGATGATGTGGTGTTTATATCATAAGGATATATGCTAATACAATCATTTTGCTTATTTCACGTAGATTCTACCTCTATTTAAATGGTCACTGTTTACATTTTTTTGCATTTCATTTTCCTCTGACCTCAGTACTCACCCGTTCCTCCTGCCTCCCCTCCCTTTTGTATATATACCTGAAACTACATGCATCTGATGGACTCTCATCCAGAAAAGCTTGTGCTATTTGTTAGCTGCCACAATACTCTTTCTTGTTTTTGATAGAACAGGATTGTTAGTCAACTTGCATCATTTTCCTATGAGCGTCAGCTTATTGAAATTTAATTAAGAGACTGTCATCTTTATTCTACCAACAAATTAATAAAACTGAAATAAGTGCTTTCATTTAACAGTGTGAGTGAAATTTTGAAGATGATATTTTGTCTCCATCAACTAAAGTTGGGGCCAGCAGTAAACAAAATACCATAGAAAGTGAAACCTATGGTTAATGAATGACTGTTTTCTGCAGCAGTGAGTTTGTTTTGCTTTTAGAATAAACATCTTAAAGGATGTTTTTGAGCTGTTTCTTACACTTGCATGCAAACCTGTGACTCGAAGTCTGTCTGTACCAATTGCAACTTCATCTTCATCCACTGTAAACAGAGGCTTTCCATCCAGATTCATGGACTTGATCTGAAATTCCTGACCATCAAATTGTACCATGTCCGGACCTAAGAAGCACACAAGAATTACTAGTATTTTAACAGAACCATTATCATTTGCTTTTTCTTAAGTTGCATTTATGAGCTGCCAATGATACAATATATTGTGACACACCACCCCTATCTCTGAGCAGGTGTTATAGATTCCAGGGGTACCAGGAGCACTTTAACCCAGGATCTGTTTCCTGTGGGACAATAAGGCACAGCAGAGACTGTGGTGTCTTTAGGATATATGGTTCATTTACACACATATATAACTTGAAGCCTACAATGCAGGGGTCCACAGCATTCCTACCCCAAGAACACTGGTATTGTCTTTTAAATGAAATCCTGTGTTCAGGGAGGGAGGAAGCCCACCCATTTGCAAATGGGATTTGCACTCTCATCCTCTGACTTGCTAACAGCTCATTACCCCAAAGGAAATTAAGTTCAATAAACACCTGATTCATGTTGATTCCCCAAGATTAAGGAAGGGTCACAATTTAAGATATCTGCCTGACTTAATTAGTTTTCATATATGCTAATAACAGGGGCTTATAAGTGGGTCCACCACATTTCCCTGTTCTAACGTACCAATTCTAATTAAATTCTAACATTTATTAAACCTAAACATTGAACACCCATACATCTATAACAATATGTTTATAAAGTTTAGGGCATTGGGACTGCAATCCTATTCCTTCTTACCTGGGTATAAGCCCTACTAAACACAGTGGGACTCATGTCTGAATAGAGATGTATAAGATTGCACTGTAGATTATGGTCCCAGTTTCCAGCTTTCATTAGGAGAAAAAGTAGAATTTTCCTAATCAAATAAAAGGGAAAAATACTTTGGGGTTGAGCTAGGTGGAACACACTATGCAAAAATGTGCACATGTGACTCTGCTGTGAAAAGTGGAGAAGAATGGATATAGTGTAGAACTGAATCACCCCTTAGAATTACAGGTTGCATATGATTTATTTATCTATCTATCTATCTATCTATCTATCTATCTATCTTATGGAACAATCCTATGCATCTTTTCTCAGAAGAAAATCCCACTGTGTTCAATTTTTCCTACTCCCTGTGTATAAAACTGCATGCTTAAGTTCTAACTAGTCCATATCTAATCCACATCAGTGTAGCATGCTTATCACATAAATGGTTGTACAAATTGGACACTGGTATCCTCTCTAGGGCTTAAACAGCTTGGGGAAGACCTGCAAAGGAGGAGACAACGATTAAAGCAATTAGCTCAGGTTTTCCTTTCCAGTAAAGGGATAAAAGAATTGCTTTGCAGGTCCTGCAGTTTTGTGTTCCCTGATAGGAAGCGTCAGATCTCCTTCCAAGGGGGAAGACAGAGGCCTGATGATGGATGGCAACACACCCCAACCAGGAAAGAATTGAATCCCCCCTCCCATTTTGTAAGGGGTGTGGGAAACCTAATGCTCTACCCCTTATATCTGGATGTGGCTATTCAATTGCATTTGGTGCTCTCTCACTCCTGCTCCTTTTGGACAGCAGCCCTACTTGAGTTGACTATCCAAGACCATTTGTATGGCCTCTGGATAGAAATGGGATCACCACAATGAATGTGCATATTCAAAACCTTCAAAATGCAAACTGAAGAAACGTAGCTTAAACCTACCCACACTTAATCTGCCTGTGACGTTCCCATCAGGATTGCGTGCATTTAGAGTCACGTTATGAGTGGATTGCAAAAGCAGAGATGAGTCCTAGTTTAAGGGATGAGGAGAAAGAGATGCAAATTTAGAAAACTTTCAGATATTCACCACAGGAAAAGCTAAACATCTTAGTGCCTTCAATGCTCTCAAGTAGCCTATGATATAAATGAGTAACGTTTTACTCACGGGTAACTAAGCAGGCCCTGCTTGCCTCAGCCCTGTTCAAAAGCATTCAAACCACTCCTTGAATATACCTGTCAGGGGTGCCAACTTGGAGAAAATACTGTGGGGGCCCAGGTAAGCCCCGCCCCACATAATCAATCACATGACACAGTGCACACACATACCATTTGAATGGGAATGCCCATCAACTTTGCAGGGGCCCAGCCTCCTCAAATATTTTATTGTGGGGGGTCAAAGCTCCCACAGACCCTAGGAGTTGGCTCCTATGATACCTGTGTCTTTTTATTTTCCTCCATTTCCCCAGTCCTTCACTTCTGACACCCCCCACCAAGAATCATAGGAAGTGTAGTTTACTTCTCACAGAACAACAATTCCTAGCGCCCTTAACAAACTACAGATCCCAGGATTCTTTGAGGGGGTGCACTTTAAATGTACACAGCCTCTTAGACAAGCTAAATACAATAATGAGCTATCAGTTCCTTCATCCTAAGGTCCAAGACAGGGTCACTCTTGACCTTGTCTCTGGTTTCAGCACCTTCTGATGTGACTGGGTGTATTGAAAAATGAATCCAGACTGACAACAGCTCCCTCTCTAGACCCACAATGCATTGCTGACTTTAGCCTACATAAGTCTTGTAGATGATAATTTATGACATGTACCCATTGCGAATTTTCAGACGACCTGTTGATGACCTGACTTACAGCCCAAATCTAAGCGTATTTGCTTAGAAAGCCTCGCTCAACTTAGTGGGATTTAAGCCTGAATGTGTGTGTGAGCAGAATATTGCAGACTTGCTTACCTTTCTAGAGTGAACTTCTTTGGCATATAAAGGATATAAAAATTCTGACTCCCGTTCTAGCCGAAGTCCTTCGCTTTGAACATAAAGGTATCCCATTCCAATCTGTAATGACAAAAGACTCCAAGCTTTTAGATTCACTGCATTTCTTACTCAAGTGTTTTTAAAATTCTCACCAGAGTATCATGCCCATCTTCTTCAAACAGTGGATAAAAATGCACAAGAGGAACCCTGACCAGATGAGAAAAGAGGGGAAAGATTATGACAACATTACAACAAGACAGCATCGGGGGTGTGGGAAGAACCACAATAGGCACTTCCTTATAGTGGTGTTCCGTAGAGATGTAAACTTTCCAGAAATTCTGAAGCCATGAAAAATAAGTCCAACCCCCTAATTTCTTTTTTTGTGGGGAGGAAACAGGCATTTCTGTGGAAATGAGAAAATCTGCAATACTTCTTTTCTTAGCACCCTTTACGGATCAGAAGTTGATTTATTACCTTAGGGACATCAAATGCATTATTTACAATTTGGTTTGCCATGAAATTATCAGGTTAAAAGTGCAGTTTATTCAGACAATAGTTACACATGCAAAAAAAAAAAGATGATGAAGGACTCTTACTGGAGAAAACCACATCACTTTAAGAATCCAAATGGTCAGAGCAAGATCCACAACTAGGATGATGATTAGGAGGAGGACGAAGAGATAAAGGCAACGCTTCCTCCAACCGTAGATGCCAACGTTGTAGACATATTGCGTTTCTGGTCTCTGTAGGTTAGTACCTGGTGTTGTTGTAGTATACTGTTCACGTACCATCTGCTAGAGAAGAAAAATAATCATTAGAAAATCATTAAAATGTTTTGGACTGCAATGCATAACCAGTTACTTAGCTACGTTAATTGATTTTAAAAATTGCCCCTAATGAACTGGAAAGCAATTAAGAAGGAAAAACCCACAACATTATTTGCAGATGGCAAGCATCTTTTAAAAGAAGCACTCTGCCTTTTAGGAGAGAATGCCTCTTCTGAGATGATGTCTGCTGTGACAATGCGTGCATCATTAAAAATACAAAAAGTTAATTGATGGAATAATCTAGAATGATATGATTAAGGTTTCCTTTAATCAGGTAGCAGCTCTAAAATTATGCTTGCTTTGTGCTGTCCCGTCCGCCCCCCCCCCCCCCGGAAAAATGCAAGTTGCTTTAACTGCTGGCTGTAAATTTTAGAAATGACGGCCTTTGGTCTTTTTTCTAGATTATGAGATATTGCTTATGGATTGAATAAGAGAGTCTAGGTCTAAATTGTGCATATTCTCAACTATGTACTGTTCAAACTTGGGGCTGATCCAATAAATTTTGTGACCTGAGGCAAAGGACAAGATGACAGAGCCCTATACTGTGTACAGAAGCTGACCAGGCTGACAGCTGAACCTTAATTCAGCAATGGCAATGGGACAACATTCTCCACCACACCTGAGGGAAGCAGGTTAGCTTTTAGGGGTACCTAGCAGGTTGTATGGGGGCACACAGCTCTGTCCTCTAGTCTCTCCCTGCTGCTTACTCAGTCTGCCTAATGGGTGGGCTGGCCCTGCCCGAAATGTTGACAGCTGAAGGCAGGGGTGGGAACCTCTGACCCAGGGGCCAATACTGGCCCACCAGGAGGTCAAATTTGGGCTGGGACGCCAAACCACATGGGTGATTTCAGCTGATGGATAGCGGAGTGGTGGTCAATCCTGTTGGGTGCTGATTTGCCAGCACGTTCCCACCCCTCAGGTCAATGTTTACATGAAGGAGGGAACACCCAACTTTCAGTCTCCTGATATCATGATGCCAGATGACTGACAGGTGGGTGACCTCATTCCCTGTCAAAAGCTGATCTGTGGGGTAGGGAGAGACACATATCTGGCTCACTAGGAGACCAATTGAAATTAATGAATTATGACTGATTTGGACCCACTAATATCAATTTGCCTACTCTTAGTTTCCGTGCGCCGCTCTGGTTTGCCAGAAGTGGCTTAGTCATGCTGGCCACATGACCCGGAAGCTGTACGCTGGCTCCCTCGGCCAATAAAGCGAGATGAGCGCCGCAACCCCCGAGTCATCTGCAACTGGACCTAACGGTCAGGGGTCCCTTTACCTTTATCTTTACTCTTAGTAGAACTTAGATGGATGCAACCCATAAATCAGATGAATTCCTTCTGATGTAACATGTAATTTATAGGGTTTTGTTTTATTTATGGATATATTGATGCTATCATGCACGTCCTATTTAAAGTGAATAGGAATGGTAGAAGAATATGGAGACACTCTACCCCACGACTGGAGTAAGGAATCTGCAAAACCAATGTAACATGATGTGTAACATTGAGCTGCAACAACTATTGTTAGCTCAAAGATTCAACGACTCCTATGGCTGAACCTTTATTTTACAACCATGCCGCTATAAAAAACTGGGCTGAAAATTAATGGCAGTCTAGAGACATGTAGAACTCCTATCTTTAGACATTTACATTCCAGCATGAATTTTGCTTAACATACATGCTTTGAAAGCATGGGCTTTCTTGGATTATATTCAAAATGAACGAGACTCATAGAATTGTAGAGTTGGAAGGGACCCTTTGAGGGTCATCAAGTCCAACCCCCTGCAATGCAGGAATCTCAGCTAGGTCATGCATGGCAGATGGCCATCCAACCTCTACTTAAAACTCCCCAAGGAAGCTAAGTTTGTGTAGTTTAAAACTTGGAAATTGAACAACTAATGATTAAAAGTAAATTTCTAGAGTCTGCGAAGTCAGTAGACTTGACAACGTGTTTATTTAATGACACACTGAGAAAATAGCCAGGCACATTGCTGGTTAATAATAGCCACAGCAGCTGCTACACAGTTTGAATTAACAACAGTAGAACTTCACTACTTACAGTGTGTCCAGGGAGCAAGGAAATAGGCTTTTTAAAGCAAATGTTCAAAAGTTTTGGGGGCAGGGGGAGGAAGAGGTAATTCAATTTGGTGGCTAATAAAGAAAACCACTACTTCCAGCTTCTTTTCATTGCTCATTAAGAAGATTCTCCCTTTCGTTTTCCATTCATTAACCTGTAGATTACTGTTCATTCATTAACCTGTAGCCATTCAGCCATCACAACTGGCATGGAAAGCATAAAAGGACCCAGCAGTCAGGAAGCTAGGCAAGAACTTCACTCTCTCTCTTTAAAAGGAAAAGAGCAACAAGAAGTACTCCTCTCAGATGCAACCAAGTCCAGTGCCAAGCAGTGACTAAACCATAAGATGAGACTACCCACCCAACAAGATCTAGTGCTGACTTATCTCAGCCCATGTTCCTCTCCCTTCTTCTCTCACTTAAATGAAAACTCCATTTGAATGTACATTTGACAGCACTTCAGAACTGAATAAGGAGAGCTTGCATTTTTTCCCTTTTTTAAAAAACACAAATAGGATGCTGGAGAGAAGGAAAGATGAGCAAGTCAGCAAAGTGATTCCATCACATTTACTTTATTTACAAGGTGTGACCGGAAAGTTCGGTGAATGGTCGCAGAAATCGGACAGTGAGAAATATGTGAGCATACAATCAGCATCGGAAACCCACGAAATGCTCACAATTGTGTATGAAGCTGTAACTTGTAAGACAGTGTATGAGTGGTTTAAGCATTTCCGTGAAGGGCAGCAAACCATCAAAAATGACCCTTGGTCTGGCAGACCGTCAACGAGCAGAATGGCAGCAAATGTCAACAGATTCAGGTAGGTAGCCGTGTTGGTCTGACGCAGTCGAAATATATAAAAAAATTGCTACTGGACATTTTAAAAAAATATTTCAAATGTCGACAGAGTTCATGAGTTATTGATGCAGGATTGGCGTTTGTCCGTCCGAATGATGGCGGAAGAATTGCATATTCTGTGTGCAATCGTTACTGAGTTGTCCCACCCTCCATAGTCTCCCGAACTGGCCCCACCGGATTTCTTTCTTTTTCCAAAACTGAAATCTGCACTGAAAAGGCAAAGATTTTCCAACATTTCACATGTCCAAGCTGCTGTGATGAGGGAACTGAAAGCAGTATGAAAAGAGGACTTCTTCAGAAGTTTCCAACAGTTCTACGAACATTGTCAACAGTGCGTTGTATCAGAGGGGGCCTACTTTGAAGGCCTGTAAGGTATGTATGTTCAAATATTTCTTGCTGTCCGATTTCCGTGACCGTTCACCGAATTTTCTGGTCACACCTTGTATTTTTTTAGAAAATGTATATACCACTGGATTGTAAGTGAACCTTTGAACAGTTTACAAAAAAACCACCCATATAGAAGGTACAGAAATCTCAGCTTTCCCCATGCTCTCAGTCTCATGCCCAACTATTCAAATAACAATCACCAACCAATTTTACAACATAAAGATGATTCCTACTGTGCACTACCTGCTGTTAAAAGTTAGCACTGTATGTTTGCACTGCCTCTGCTGCTAGCACAACAATAAAGGAGGAAGAATACTTGCTTTCAGAATACTGCCAAGTTAATGTGAAATATTTACGCACAACCACACTGTTTCATAGTACTCTTTGAGGTGCTACTCTTTTCAGTCATCTAAAAGAAAGCCAGGCTTTTGAGCCCTAGCCACTTTGATTATGGCCCACCTTTTGGAGGGGATCAAGTGCCCACAGCTGTTTCTGATCCCTCTGGTGCACCATCTCCATCTGTACTTGTGGCATCAGTCCAGGTTCTAGCTATGCACGTACAAAGTGCATGGATTGTGGGGATGTTCCCCCCCTGTGTATGTATAGATGGAAGCAGGGCAATCCGTCCAAGTGTGCATAAGAAGGGAACAACACGCTAGGTGGGTGGGTGGGGCGATGTGTCTGCTCACTCCCATCCATGCATCAGGGCTGTCAGATAGGCAGGCACATATCATGCAAACTAGCCTATTGTCATCTACAGTAGGAGCCTTGAGAAGCCCTAAATACAGATGAGCAACTCCTTGTTTTAATATACGTATGTTGAAAACAGCTGCAGACTGCTCACCGCAGGGATCGCGCGAGACATGAAAGGGTTTTCCAAGGCTCCTGAGCTAAGGATTTAGCGCAAGGAGTGTTGCAATCAGTTAACATCACCACCACAATGCTATTTGTGGTGTCACTCAGAAGAAGAAGAAACAACTTTTCACCACTACAGAACTCAATCAATATGGACCGGATGTAATCCTTGTGAGAATTTCCCCTGAGAGAAACTCATCAGCAAACAAGCGCTGAGTCTTCCAAACCCATATTTGAATTTCTAGTAAATATTTATGAGGCTCAACAACAAAGTGAGTATGAGTGCATTCCTAAGTGGGATGTGGAGGGGTACGAAGCGGTAAATAGCAGCTTTCAAAGCCCTGCTGGCTCCTGGCAAGTCAGAGTAGGAGGCTGGCATAGCAGGGGGTTCCGCGTTGCCATGTATCTCTTTTTCCTTTTCTTTTCTTCTCTTCCATTCCAATAACACGGAGAACTGTTATACTAGCTTCAGGCTGCCACAGAGGGAAGGTCTGATCCTGAGACCTCTTCTTCAAGGAATAAAGGGGTCATGGATTGTCGGAGCCAGCCGTTACAAATGGCGCAGTTTAGCATAAAATAAAGACACAGAGAGCCAGCAATATTTTCAGGATGGTATGAGCAGCTCCTTTCGAACTCTCTCCTCCCGTAGCTTTTTTATTATCCCTTGTCTCTCTCCAGCTGCATGGCCGTTTGCCAATGTCTCACGTTACCTCATCCGGTCAAGGCTTTTATTACACCCATCACCATATAGGGTCATCACTGTTAGTTTCTGCTTTCCTTCACTGTGCAGCTCTGCTTGTCACGAGACAGGTGTTTACATTCCACAGTCTGTACTGTTGGAGTTTCTCACGGGAAAGGGAGACTGGATGTGACGTACACTGGTTTCCTGTTTTTCACTGTGTGATTCTCTCCGAGCTGTCGAGGAGAGAGGATGCATTTTCTGCTCCGGCAAAGGCAAGATGTCTTTCTGTAATATACCAGCTTTGAACTGTAAATAAAGCTATATAGAGTATGTATCACGTATTCCTCATCCTTCCGCTGGGCACGAGACTCTGCTTAAATCAACACATGGTTATGGGCCCAGAGGTCGAATCGGAGTGCCGGCAAAGGATCGGAATGCAGAGGGACGGATCGGAAAGGAATCTGCTCTGCGCGTAGAAGTGATTGATGAGGTATGTGCTACTGCTCCGGGCAGCCTGCCAGCTTCAAGTTAATGGCTTTATGGCTGGACTTTGAACTTTTAAAGCCGGTTTTGCCGGGAATAGGCAAAAGGCTCCCAGGCACAAGTCACTATGCTGGGGAAATCGAAAGTAACTTTTAAGTGCGCCTTTGTAATAAGGCAGCTGCAGCAGTGACGCAGCAAGATTTAAAGCAGCATATATATGACGCTGAAGGCTAATGCTAGAGTCATGATGGCCCTTCAGGATGCTTGTGGGATTCCTAAGCTCAACAAGAAAAATTACAGCGACTGGGTTCAGTATGCAGAGGCAATTCTGCGGAAAGAGGGTTTGTTTGAGGTGATTACAGGAACCCCCCCAGTTCCAGTTACAGATGCATGGGAAGCTAAGGATTCCAAAGCAAGGGGAACTCTTACATTGATAGTATCCCCAGAGGAGCTCTGTCTATTGCGTGATAAGACCTCAGCCAGAGAAATTTGGGACGCTCTGAGAGAGGCTCACTTAAGGACAGAAGCTGGATCCACTATGTTTTACTTTAACAAGCTGCATAATATGGCTCTTGCTGAAGGTGGAGATGTGCGTTTACATCTGATGAAGATGCAAAATCTGAGACATGAGCTGCAACAGAGAGGACTCAACTTTCCAGAGGCTGTGTATTCTTTCATGATACTACAATCTTTGGGTTCAGGTTGGGAGTCTGTTGCAACCCAGATTGCTGTGCAACCAACTGCTCAGCTGACAGTGGACTTTGTTACTGCCGTGATTTTAAATGAAGCAGATCGCCGGGGTGCTAGCTGCATGGGCAAGGGGGAGTCTTCACAGACGTCATCCCATAGTGCAGTGGAACCACCAGATGGCGCTAAAGCTTTGAAGGCAGTGAAATGCTACTCGTGTGGACGTCTAGGCCATATGAAGAGGGAATGCAGACATCCCAGGGCCAAGACAGAGCAGCGTAGCGAAAGCTCATCGCGCGGAAAAGGCCGAGGCAAAGGCAAAGGTCCGGTGTCTAGGACAACGCAGCACAAGGCTATGGTTTCACGCTTCACTCCAAAGGTTGCAGAGGTCCAGAAGACGTCTAGATCTTTCTTCGTTGTTGATTCAGCGGCCACCCACCACATGTGCAACGATAAGAGACTGTTTGTGTCTTTTACACCGCAGGAAGGTGCGATTCACCAGGCGGATGACCACACTATTCCCAGTAAAGGCTACGGAACTGTTGTTCTTCACAGTTTGGACTTATCGATACAGAATGTGCTTTACGTGCCAGACGCCAAACATAATCTGCTCAGCGTTGGACAGCTGAATGAGCGGAACATTGACGTTTCCTTCAAGAACAAGAAGTGCATCATCACAAAGAAAAATGATTATGTATTGCATGCAGAATATGTTGATCATTTGTTTGTTTTGTATTATGATGATGTGGTGCAGGATGACACTTGTTGCATTGCAGGTTCTAACAAAAGTTTGCATGCAGAATGTATTCACGATTTTCATCGAAAATTTGGTCATTTGCATTTTGAGGCAGTATCTAAAATGCCTGCCTTGGTTGAAGGTATGACTATTAAACCCTGCAGGTACCACATGAAGTGCAAAGCATGCGCAGCAAACAAGGTGAAAATGGCTGCGAAAGGTAAGGTGTCTAGTAGGAAAGCTACAGAACCATACCAGGTTGTTCATGCTGATTTGGTTGGACCACTAGCGCCCTCTTTGGGTGGAAATAGATACTTCATGGTTCTCATTGATGCATTTTCTAGATATATTTTTGTGTACAATCTCAAGCAGAAATCGGAGGCTTTTCCTAGGTTCAAGGAATTCTGTGCTTGGTTGGAAAATGTGCATGGTAAGAAGATAAAGACTCTTTTCAGTGATCGCGGGGAATTCACTTCTCAGCAGTTTGAAGCTTTTCTGACTGAGAAAGGAATTCAACACGATTTGTCTAGTCCTCGCTCGCCATGGCAGAATGGACTTGCGGAACGGGCAAATCAGACATTGCTTCAAGGCTTAAAAACCTTGCTGCATGATGCCAATCTTCCAGAGAGTTATTGGGCCGAATCTCTCTCGTGTTTTGTTTACAGTTACAATCGCAGATTATCTTCAGCGATTGGTTGTACCCCCTATGAGAAGATGTTTGGCAAGAAGCCATACATCAAACACATGAAGATTTTTGGTTCTGACATGTGGGTTCGCTCACCACAAAACTCCAAGTTAGACAAGCGTGGATTGCATGGTATCTTTCTAGGTTATCAGAAAGGGTCTTACAGAATAATGATGACTGACTCTAAGACAATTAAGCTCACGAGAAGTGTTGAGTACAATGCAAAGTGGGGGAGAATGTGGGAATTTTCCAATGTTATCCTGATGACGGTGATGAGACTGAGGATAGTCAAAAGCAACCACAACAGCCCACACCCACTGATGAAGGTTCTGAGTCTGAATCTGAAACTGAATCGGGTGATTCAGAGGATTTCAAGAGTGCGAAAGCCTCTATGCGACCCTCTGAAAGCTCTGATCAAGAATTGGAGGAACCATTGTTCACAATAGGTCGTTTTTCTCCTAAGAAGGAAGAGGAGAGTGTTGAAGACTTAAGGCTAATTCGTAGGTCACAGAGAGCCACAAAGGCAAACCTCCAAAGAGATTTGCTGATGAGTTTGCTAAGATAGCAGTAACAGCTGTTAAAAGCTCCAAGAAGGTATTTGAACCTTCAAGTTTCCAAGAAATCCAGGGTTTGGATTCAAAGGAAGCTGAGCCATGGTTAAATGCCATGAAGGCTGAGCTTGATTCCTTAGAAAGGAACAAAACATGGGAGCTAGTTCCAGTAGTTCCAGGAATGAAACTGCTTGGAAGCAAATGGGTCTTCAAAGCGAAGACAGATCAAAATGGCAAGATAGTCAGACACAAAGCCAGATTGGTAGCCAGAGGTTTTGCACAGGTACCAGGTCAAGACTATCACGAGACCTATTCACCCACAGTGAGATATGAAAGCATTAGGCTTATGCTCAAGCTAGCTGCAGAGGAAAATCTACACATTAGTCACCATGATATTAATACAGCTTTTCTGTACGGATCTCTAGATGAATCACTTTATATGCTTCCACCTGATGGCGTACAGGTTAAACAGGGATTTGTTTGTGCTCTGAAGAAATCCCTTTATGGTCTCAAACAAAGTGCACGGTGTTGGCACACAAAACTCACTGAAGTATTGTTTTCTCTAGGTTTTCAGCAAGGGAAAGCTGATCCATGTGTATTTGTCAAAGAGGAGGGGCAAAAGAAACTGTACTGTTTGTTTTATGTTGATGATTTATTATTCTTTTGGAAAGATGTTGCAATGTACAATAGCGCCCTAGCTCAACTGAAAGAGCACTTTGACATGAAAGATCTTGGTGAGGTAAACAACTACCTATCTCTGGAAATAGAGAGAGATCAAGATGGTAACATTCTAGTACACCAGTCACGGAAAATTGCTGATGTGTTAAGCAAACTAAATCTGATGGATGCTAACCCTGTAGACACACCGATGACAACAGGTTATCAGGTAGATGACACTGAAGAAGCATTTTCTGACACTACACTGTACAGGAGTGTGCTAGGCAAGCTAAACTTCATTGCCAGATGTTCAAGACCAGACATTGCTGTTAGCTGTAATTTGCTAAGCAGACAAGTCAACAATCCTAGTGTCAAGGATTGGAAAGCTCTGAAACGCATAGCGCGGTATTTGAAAGGCACTATGCATTACAGACTGAGATTTAACAATCAGAAGTCTGGTGGTCTTGAGATATTTGCAGATGCAAGTTTTGGAAGTGACGCTACAGACAGGAAAGGTACGTCTGGAGTTTGCTATATGTACAATCAGAGTCTGTTTGATTGGTCATGCAAGAAGCAAACAACAGTTAGCTTAAGTACTTGTGAAGCCGAACTGAATGCACTGTCTTATTCACTTAAGGATTGTGAATGGTTAGTACAATTGTACAAAGATATGAAAATTCCTGTCAAATGTCCAATCCAGGTTTACCAGGACAACAAAGCATGTTTGGCTTTGCTGAAGTCTGAAGGTTGTAAGCAAAGCACAAAGCACTTACAATTAAAGTTGCAGCATGCTAGGGAATGTATTCAGAAGGGACTCGTAACGGTGTCCTATATGCCAGGTAATGAAATTCCTGCTGATGTATTGTCCAAGATTGTATCGAGGGATCAACACTGTACCTATGTGCAGAAGTTGGGTTTGTACTGATATTGTGCAAACACGCTGCCCAGTGATGTTCACAGAAAGGGGAGGATGTTAGTTTCTGCTTTCCTTCACTGTGCAGCTCTGCTTGTCACGAGACAGGTGTTTACATTCCACAGTCTGTACTGTTGGAGTTTCTCACGGGAAAGGAGACTGGATGTGACGTACACTGGTTTCCTGTTTTTCACTGTGTGATTCTCTCCGAGCTGTCGAGGAGAGAGGATGCATTTTTCTGCTCCGGCAAAGGCAAGATGTCTTTCTGTAATATACCAGCTTTGAACTGTAAATAAAGCTATATAGAGTATGTATCACGTATTCCTCATCCTTCCGCTGGGCACGAGACTCTGCTTAAATCAACAATCACTGCCCAGAGGAAACACAACTCCATTTAAGGTCAATACATTCCAATACATTGTAAAGCTCAGAGTGCTGGTCAGCCGAGGTCAGGGGGCACCCTGCAATATTACAAGCCTTTGCTGTGGCTTTATGACTCCCACATGCCCTCTTTCTTTATTTTATTAATCAGAGTCATATATGTCAGTACCAATATGGTTATATCGAGCGCGATAAGCGACTCTTGTGACACCAGAAGCGGGCCGCGGACTGGAGAACCATGCAGTACATATAGAAATTAAAGAAGGAATACATTGTATACAGCAACACAAAATAATGCAAATAACTACTATAATGATCACTAAAATCAATAAATGTCGAAGCCAACTTCCATCTGGAAGCCAAGAATATAAGAATTCTGATTCCAAGCTGCATGGTAGGCTTCCTTTCTAGTTTATTAGCCATGCACTGGTGTCACTCCTATAGCACTGAGATTGGTCACTGTATGTTACTGTAAGAGAACAAGAGCTATTAAAAGTGAAATTCAATGTATATTGACAGTTTGGATATATGCCCCATGATTCTTTCCCCTCTTTAATTTGAAAACAAATGGGGCAGGCTCATGGAGGGTCAATTGTACTGGAGGCCAAAAAGTTTGCTTAGGGGACATAATATTAGTAAATTGAAAAGATCCATTGACAGGCACACCATGAAGCATTATGCCTGAATGACTGGCATACACACCCAACATTTAGAAGCATGCAATAAACTGGCAAACATAATCATATCTTGTACAAAAATATTATCCCTCCATAACTTATGATAATTTTCTCCCCTAAAAGTCTTATTCAACAACGCTGTTCTTCTAGTTCGAAAGTGGCTGAGCTGTGGATACTGCCAGCCAGAGTAGAATTCTGGCGACAGCTGCTTGCCAGCCGATGAGGTGAAATATGGTGGTTTCAACTGGACAGGGTCGTCTGCTTCTCTTCCTTGTATAACGGTGCAGCAAAGGATGGCAAGGCAAATGGTTAGGAAGGCAAACACTGCCAGATGCAGCTCGTGTGCAGCACCTCTAGGTGGCGCATGCGGAAAGGTTTCAATGCTTCACCCACAAAATGTTGACAAAGTGTAGGGGAGTTCCGCATGCCTTGAGGCAGGACAACCCACTGATATCGCTGGGTGGGCTGCGAACTGTGATATGCTGGCAATGTAAAAGCAAACCGTTCCCTGTCTGCTGGAGCCAGTGGGATGAAGATGGTTCAATGTGGCCGAAAGTCAATTGTTCAGAAATAAGCTGGTCAGAGATAGCTGGTGCCGCTGCTGCGGATTTTTCTTTTGGTAGAGGCCACTGTTCTACCCCCACTGGGGTATCGGTGATCCTGGTTTGCCACACTGGAAACAAGTTGTATCGGTGGCTACAAGCTGGTTTTCATTTAGCGCTGCTGCCAGCAGATGAGCCTTGTGGGTGGCTGTACCTACAGACTGACAAATGCGAAGCATGGCTGCTGTGTCTGTGGCAGGATTGTGTATTATCGGTCGTAACGCAACCTTACAATCCTCATTGGCATTTTCAAAGGCCAATTGTTTGATAATTATTTGTTTGGCTTCAGGATTTTCAATTTGGTGACTCACTGCTGTAAGCAGCCTGTCCATAAAGGAAGAATATGATTCTCTTGCCTCTTGCCTGATTGAACCCCACCTTGATTGAATACTGGTGGGTTCTGGGATTTTTCTCATTGCTTGTTTAGCAGCAAGAGCAGTGTCCCTCAATAAGATTTGCAGCAGTGTGGCTTGCACTGAAGCTTGAGCGAAGGGACCACGCCCCATCATGGCATCTATGACGTCTGCAAGGGTAACATTTGGATTATTTCCTCTGACTTGTTGTAACAAGGCAGGAGCATAAGCACGGCAGGCAGTTTCCCATTCGTGGGCAAACAAAACACCAGCCGATGGGGGTAACACTGTATGGGCCAAAAGCTTGATGTCCTCTGGAACCAAGAGCTGGGCTAATGTGGCTTCTAAAAGCGCCTGCGTATATGGGGCTTGGAGTCCATTGGCCTTTACTGACTGTTGCAGCTCTTTCAAAATCTTAAAGTCAAAAGGTTGGTGTTGGGCACCAGCAGGGGGCACAATAACAGGGAATGCCATAGTATCCTGAATTAAGGAACAGGCAAGGACTGCACGTTGAAAAGGGGTAGCTGGTTCTGCCGCTGAAAGATTAGGATCATTGCCAGCCAGACCACGGTATTTTTGCAGCATTGGGTCCTCTGGTGAGGAACTGTAGTCTGAAGGTTTGGGGTCTGGGGCTGCTGGCAAGGCGAGTGCTGGAACAGATGGCAGCACAGCAGGCTGAATTAAAGAAGCTGAAGGTTGTGTTGGCAATGCAGCCATGGAGATATTTTTTGGTGATAAAGAGCCCATGGCGTAACGAACCTTGCACCATGCATTTAGAATCCGAAGACCAATGCTGGGGTGCCCATGAAAATGTGCCCCAATCTTGTCCCAAAGTTTTAATTCCCAAGTCCCATCTGCAGGAAACCAGGGGGAATGCTCTTCGATGGCCAGAATGAGCTGTATCAAATCACCCTCCCGAACTTCCAATTTGTTGGAGGAGAGGAGAAATTTTAAGTCTTTTAAAAATTTCTGTTGGGGAGTAGACAAAGAGCTGCCCATTTTTCTAAAATCAAGATAGAAAAAAGAGATTGAACTCACCGGGATCTTTTTAAGATGATTAGTGCTTTGCAACCCTTGCGGGGCGTAGTGAGTCGATGATTGCCATTGTGTGAATTGAAGAACCTCACACGGTTTTCTTTTAAAATCCTCTTAGTCTGCCTCAGACTGTTTTCTTTAAGTTGCCTCACACGGTTTTCTTTTAAAAGCCTCAGACGTATTCTTTTATTCAGCCTCACACGGGGCACCACTTGTCGGAGCCAGCCGTTACAAATGGCGCAGTTTAGCATAAAATAAAGACACAGAGAGCCAGCAATATTTTCAGGATGGTATGAGCAGCTCCTTTCGAACTTCTCTCTCCTCCCGTAGCTTTTTTATTATCCCTTGTCTCTCTCCAGCCGCATGGCCGTTTGCCAATGTCTCACGTTACCTCATCCGGTCAAGGCTTTTATTACACCCATCACCATATAGGGTCATCACTGCCCAGAGGAAACACAACTCCATTTAAGGTCAATACATTCCAATACATTGTAAAGCTCAGAGTGCTGGTCAGCCGAGGTCAGGGGGCACCCTGCAATATTACAAGCCTTTGCCGTGGCTTTATGACTCCCACAATGGATCCAGCAAGTCCTCTGTCCCAACCCTGCTCCACCTACAAAATGCCCAATTTTGGGGCCTACCCCCAGCCATAACTGTGGAGATATTCACAAGCACTTGGGACATGCCCCTTCTCTGAAAAAAACTCTTATATCCTGGCAGAGGCATGCTTTTGCAAAGGGTTTCATTGTGCCACTGCCCCAATCTTCTACCTGTGGCTCCTTTTAGCAAAGGGGGAGGGGGAGAGACAACAGGGGATGTACATCAGATCTTGTTTGGTCTTGGTGAGCAATCTGGCTGCTGAATTCTCCACCAGCTGAAGCTTCCAAACTGTCTTCAGAGGCAGCCCTATGTACAACACACTGCAGTAATCTAACCTACAGGTTACCAGAGCATAGATGAACAATACTTACACTATCCATGGCCAAATGGGGCACAGCTGGGCCACCAGCTGAAGCTGATGGAAGGAACTCCGTGCTACTGAGCGCACCTGAGTTTGCAATCCTATACTTGTTTATCTGCAAGTAGGCCCCATTGAACTCAATGGGACTTAATTCTGAGTAGGCATCCTTAGGAATAGGCATTATATGATTGTGCTGTTACCGACTAAGCAACAATAAATTCCAGTTAAGCATATGGGGGTGCTAAATATCAGTTTTGCAGTGACACTGCATTAATAATGTCTCATGGTGTTTCACTACATTGGAAATGCATTTCCACCTTTATCAGTGTTCCACAAAAGAGTGGGATGTGATTATTAAATGCCTCTCACAGGCTACTTTGAAATAAGAGGCTACAAACTACAATATATTACTCGAGCATGCTGTTCTCTGTTTAAGCAAGATAGGGCTATTTTAATTATTTAAAAGCCGGGAAGACAAACATTACCAAAAGTAAAGAATTGCTCCCTAAGTAAAAATTAAGTACTTTAACTTGTCAGGATTTTTTCTTTTTCTAGAGCACAATTCTAGGACTTTGCTTACTATTACAGTGGTGCAAAACTTTTCCTTGTGCAAGGGAACTTCCTCCTCCTCCTCTTCTCCAGGTCCTCCTCAAAATCTGCTCCACAGGGTTGGGGAGCCCTCTGGCGCGGATTTGGGGGAAGCAAATGGAGAGAGACATTCCACTGTCCAACTGCTGGACATAATGTGTAATAAGCTTAACCCTGCCAAAGAACCAGGGTCTGTGCTCACCTGATCTCCTGCAAATAGCTCAATGCACAAAAGCTAGCATGCAGAGAAGTAAACTGAAGCTGAATCTTGACCATACTATTCAGGAATTACCATGGTACCTCGGGTTAAGTACTTAATTCGATCCGGAGGTCCGTTCTTAACCCAAAACTGCTCTTAACCTGAAGCACCACTTTAGCTAATGGGGTCTCCTGCTGCTGCTGCGCCGCCAGAGCACGATTTCTGTTCTCATCCTGAAGCAAAGTTCTTAACCCGAGGTACTATTTCTGGGTTAGTGGAGTCTGTAACCTGAAGCGTATGTAACCCGAGGTACCACTGTACTGAACTAAAGGAGAACATGATCCTGTCTGGCTGCAGAAGCATGTTTAGCCCCACCTCCAGAGTCACAAAAATCCTGCATGAATACAAAAGGCTACTTGCTTAAATGCCTGGGAGAATTTGTATGTCATTTGTGGAAACAGTTTAGGTCAGCGGAGCTCAACTGTGGCTGATGCATCACATACAACAGAATGAACCTTACTGATACATATGTGTATATAATACCACTGGATTAAAAGAGCATATAACTGAAGATTTTATATTCACATCCATATGTGACAAGAACAAGTGAAATTCTGTTATTAAATAAAAATGATAATATCTGTCTTAGTAAGAAAATTACCCATGTAAAATTATCCATGTAGTTGTAGCCATTTGTTTTAGGGGTGGGGAGGAGGTGGGCAGGGGAGACAGGAAAACTATCAGGCAAAATAAGCCAGAGTTTTCTTGGAGAGTGCAGAGACCATTCATCCTGTGTAAATCAGACTGTCCCCAAAAGAAAAGAGTAACATTTAAAAAAAATAAAATAACATATTGCTAATCTATTATGCAATTGAATGCAATGAAGAAAACTTGCTTTGCTAAGCTGAAGCTCTACCAATGTTTAAATCAGTAATGATATACAAAACATTAAACGTAAAGTTTGGTGCTTGAAGTTAAGATAACAGGCCCAAAGGGAAGATTAACAGAACTGCAAGCAGTGTAACAAGAAAAGGACATGTACAATTTAGTTACGGCTCATAACATATATACATCCAAGCATATGTAAAAGACTTACCTTAGAAGATTTTAAAGCAGTACGATTTGCTGAACTAACTAGGATCAGACTCTCTCTGCCTTATAGAATGATTTTCTCCACTTGAATCTAGAGTGGAAGATATTCGAGGCGTGGCTGGGCTTGTTTACATGGTTGGCCACATCTCACATTCCACTGCCTTTCACTGGCAAAACAGGCAGGGCTAATTTTAATCTATGACGAACTAGCTAGTGCTGCACTAATGCTTCAACGAGGGGCGAAAAACTTAAAATAATTATTATTTGCAGGGGAATTTACACGGGTTTCTTTGACTTCTGTTCATCCCACTGTTACTGAGAAGCTCAGATCAGCTGGAACCCTGCAGGTACCCTGAAATTGTGTGTCTATTCTGGCTTGGCAAGAGCAGTGAGTGCAGTGGAATTGCAAAGTAACAAAGCCATATTGGTGTGATCACAACTCAGAGCAGCAAGCGGTGCATGGGAGCGAGCAGTCACATGGACAACATAGTTGCAAGCATTATTATTATTATTATTATTATTATTATTATTATTCAGAAGAACAGGGCAAGTCCAGGTGTCAAATGCTAGGTTAAAATAGGTGTGTCATCAAGCATATGGTGGCTAGACGCATCTCCAGATTTTTTTCTATATCTAATACAAGTATACACTCTTATTTGGCCATTAAAGGTAAAGGTAAAGGGGCCCCTGACTGTTAGATCCAGTCCCGGACGACTCTGGGGTTGCGGTGCTCATCTCATTTTACTGGCTGAGGGAGCCGGCGTACAGCCACTTCTGATGAACCAGAGCAGCACACGGAAACACCGTTTACCTACCCACTGGTAGGTATCTACTTGCACTTTGACATGCTTTCGAACTGCTAGGTTGGCAGGAGCAGGGACCGAGCAACGGGAGCTCACCCCGTCGCAGGGATTCAAACCGCCGACCTTCTGATAGGCAAGCCCTAGGCCCTGTGGTTTAGACCACAGCACCACCTGCATCCCTTAGTTTTCTCTAATTGTTTCCTCCAGCAAGCTGGTAATTAGATTAAACACCCTTTTTGCATTCCACTCTTTCCTGAGTGGTCACTTGAGAAGGATGCTGCGAGTGGCTTAGGAATCTTTTCATGACCATGCAGAAATTCTGCAGTGGGAAAACCACATTGTGATGCCAGCAGATAGACCTGTGTCCTGCGTCTAGCCCTGTCCTTAACAAGATCACCCTTTGCATTAGAGTAGATGCCCAACAGGAAGTCCCTTGCCTATAACTGGGCATTCCTCAAATCCCCAACCTCTTTGGTTTCATGGGTACAATGCTTGCTAAGGCTTCTCCATGCTTCTCTTTTCCCCAAGGATGGCTACAGGAGTTGAACTTCTTCAGCTTTAGCTAGATCCTTTCTCCATCTTTCCCATCTCCTTCTCTTAGTCATGTTTGCTGCTTTCTTTGGGTTTATTCAGGATCCTTGTGAGACGCATAAGCCAGAGTTTATTCCATTTTTGGAGCATTGTTAGAAGGATTTATAGAAAGCAGGGTGAATTCCTCCAGTGGATAAAAGAAAATAGCTATGTCCCTGTCCAGAAACACTGGGGGAAAGATCCAGCTAAAGGCCACCTTTATTGGCCACCCCATCCACAACTGAACCAAAAGTTTCAGAAAACAGAGGCAGCTGGCTGACTCTTTGAGAGACTCAAATCACCAGATAATTTTTTATCAAGACTCAAGTCATGACTGTGCACCTGCAAGCTGAAACTCAGGAAATAACTTATCTCTTCCTTCAGGTAAGTTATTATTACCATCTCTTTCTGACCTCTATCTCTCATTTCCCCAGTCTCACTGTTTTTCAACCATTGTGTTATCCCAACTCCAGTTATTTGCACTGGAGCATGTTCCTCTTATGCATTTAAGCCTCCACTGCAGCCCTTTTGGTTCCCTAGTGCCCTCCCAGCCCCTTAAAGGCAAATCTCTCCTCTCCATCTATTTGTATCTCTACATCAGTAACTAAGCTTAAGGTCCAGGCAATGTGGATTTTGGGTAAAAACTAATCATCTTGCTATTTTGCATTTTTGTCTTGGCACTTTAAGCCGCAAAGCCATTTTCCTTATGGCCCGAAATTTGATGTAAATACAGTATTCAAGTAGAACAATGTGCGTGGCTCTTGCTAATTTCCCCATATCAACGAGACTTGTGTTGGCAATATTAAATTAGGAGCAGCATAACACAAGAGCCTCTGTGTCCAGATTAAAGACTCCCAAAGTGGTACTGTACTTCCATAAACATACATGTGGACATGTAGATAGAACATGAGCACATCCATTAGCACTACACTGAAGGGAATCTAGCAGTTAACTACCGTACCAGGAACCTCTAAGAATCCCTTGCCTATCTCTTGCTTGCTTCCATAAAAATATGCATGCTTTTTTTCTATCCTTGGGAGAAGAGAGTTTCAAAGTCTGGGAATCCGCAAAGGCAGAAAGAACTATGCATTATATACAACATATGGCTGCAACCTAAAATGGGACCCCCCATGTTCATTTCTTGCCTCTCCCCTGGTAATATGCAGGATGAGTAATCCCATGTGATGACATCATAATACTAGGTATTCCCTTGCACCACATCATTGGCTGCTGTTTGTGGAGCCTATGGGATTATATCAAAAAATGTAGCAAGGGAGCTTACATATTGAAATTTATCTAGATTTCCAAGCTTTTATATGATGTAATCCATATGGAAATGCCCACCCAGGATTGGCAATGCTGAAGAGTATTACAGAAAATCTCTCAAATAAATATAGAAGAAAAGGACAACTCAGTGCAGATATGCCATTATTTTTAGCAGCAGCCTTATGTCAAGCATAACATTCCTCTTTGAGAATGTCTGTGCACATGGTTTCATTATACAGACTTGGAAGTAGGAGGGACGCTGTGTGACAGCCATAATAAGCTACTTGCAGAAATTAACATTTGGTGCAGAGAAAGAGGCAAATTTGAAGGTGGGTGTGTTGTTAAATATCTTGCACATTGTGTATTAGGGCTGAAGCTTCAGATTCTATGCTAAATTCCGAACTATACAAATATTTATTTGTTGATAAATAAAAGAAGCTTTTAGGAGGCAAAACAGGCCATCTTCTCACCTCCTAGAATCATAGAATCATAGAATCATAGAGTTGGAAGAGACCACAAGGGCCATCGAGTCCAACCCCCTGCCAAGCAGGAAACACCATCAGAGCACTCCTGACATATGGTTGTCAAGCCTCTGCTTAAAGACCTCCAAAGAAGGAGACTCCACCACACTCCTTGGCAGCAAATTCCACTGTCGAACAGCTCTTACTGTCAGGAAGTTCTTCCTAATGGTTAGGTGGAATCTTCTTTCTTGTAGTTTGGATCCATTGCTCCGTGTCCGCTTCTCTGGAGCAGCAGAAAACAACCTTTCTCCCTCCTCTATGTGACATCCTTTTATATATTTGAACATGGCTATCATATCACCCCTTAACCTCCTCTTCTCCAGGCTAAACATGCCCAGCTCTCTTAGCCGTTCCTCATAAGGCATCGTTTCCAGGCCTTTGACCATTTTGGTTGCCCTCCTCTGGACACGTTCCAGTTTGTCAATGTCCTTCTTGAACTGTGGTGCCCAGAACTGGACACAGTACTCCAGGTGAGGTCTGACCAGAGCAGAATACAGTGGCACTATTACTTCCCTTGATCTAGATGCTATACTCCTATTGATGCAGCCCAGAATTGCATTGGCTTTTTAGCTGCCGCGTCACACTGTTGGCTCATGTCGAGTTTGTGGTCAACCAAGACTCCTAGATCCTTTTCACATGTACTGCTCTCAAGCCAGGTGTCCCCCATCTTGTATTTGTGCCTCTCATTTTGTTTTTGCCCAAGTGCAATACTTTACATTTCTCCCTGTTAAAATTCATCTTGTTTGTTTTGGCCCAGTTCTCTAATCTGTCAAGGTCGTTTTGAAGTGTGATCCTGTCCTCTGGGGTGTTAGCCACCCCTCCCAATTTGGTGTCATCTGCAAATTTGATCAGGATGCCCTTGAGTCCATCATCCAAGTCGTTGATAAAGATGTTGAATAAGACCGGGCCCAAGACAGAACCCTGTGGCACCCCACTAGTCACTCTTCTCCAGGATGAAGAAGACCCATTGATGAGCACCCTTTGGGTTCGGTCAGTCAGCCAGTTACAAATCCACTGAGTGGTAGCATAGTCAAGACCACATTTTACCAGCTTCTTTACAAGAATATCATGAGGCACCTTGTCAAATGCCTTGCTGAAATCAAGGTAGGCTACATCCACTGCGTTCCCTTCATCTACCAGGCTTGTAATTCTGTCAAAAACGAGATCAGGTTAGTCTGACATGACTTATTTTTCAGAAATCCATGCTGACTATTGGTGATCACAGCATTCCTTTCTAGGTGCTCACAGACTGTTTGCTTAATGATCTGCTCCAGAATCTTCCCTGGTATTGATGTCAGACTGACTGGGCGGTAATTATTTGGGTCCTCTCTTTTCCCTTTTTGAAAATAGGGACAACATTTGCCCTCCTCCAGTCTGCCGGGACTTCGCCTGTTCTCCAGGAATTCTCAAAGATGACTGCCAGTGGTTCTGAGATCACATCTGCCAGTTCTTTTAATACTCTTGGATGCAGTTCATCTGGCCCTGGAGACTTGAATACATCTAAACTAGCCAAGTATTCTTGTACTATCTCCTTAGTTATTCTGGGCTGTGTTTCCTTTGCTGAATCATTTGCTCCAAATTCTTCAGGTCGGGCATTGTTTTCTTTATCGGAGAAGACTGAGGCAAAGAAGGCATTGAGGAGTTCAGCTCTTTCTGTGTCCCCTGTTTGCATTTCACCATCTTCTCCTCTGAGTGACCCCACTGTTTCTTTGTTCTTCCTTTTGCTACGGACATACCCATAAAAGCCTTTTTTGTTGCTTTTAACCTCTCTAGCAAGCCTGAGTTCATTCTGTGCTTTAGCTTTTCTGACTTTGTGTCTACACGTGCTGGCTATTTGTTTGAATTCCTCTTTGGTGGTTTCCCCCCTTTTCCATTTTTTGTACACATCCTTTTTTTAATCTTAACTCAGTTAAAAGTTCTTTAGATAGCCACCCTGGCTTCTTTAGGCACCTTCCATGTTTCCGTCTC